GAACAGCCAGCCTTCTCTTGTGACAGCACACATCAACCTCATTAGATACCGAGAGGATCCTTTCGGGCCAAACTCCATTTCAAGCGAATTTAATTGTGAGGAAAATTTGTAAATTGTAAATCAAGAAACATTAAAAGGAAAAAAACATGAATACGCTCAGAGCTATTTCATCGTACTTTGTAATTGCTGCAAGCAGGTTGAGTGTACACATCATTCCTGCATAAAAGGAAAACACTACCCGCTGTAAAACCATCACTACCCAACCGATTCATGAACTGTTGGCACTAATGCTGCAGACAAAATAGAATAACGTTAATCATCTGTCTTCACTGATGGGACGGTAAAGTCAAGGCCTAATCACGGCTATAATGTAATGCCTCAGTTTCTACAGAGCGTTATTTATGTGCACCCTCGGAAATTAAAGCTACGTCTGCAAAATACAATTTGATGTATCAGGATGTCATGGTCAGGATATAGTAATTATCTCATGTTGATTAATGTTTACAATTGTGGAAGTCCTCAAGAAAGGTATTCTGTTCACGGGCGATTCATCTGTTGACTAGTGGATATACATGAATTAATCCTCCAGATACACACTTATGAGGTTTAATACAATAATACAAATGAATGCTGCATTATGTTTTAATCTACCCATATTGTATTGGTGAGGTTCACAGGAACACCTAATTGGAATAGATCCGTTTTAAGTCTTTAGTGTCACCAGGTGCCTTTCCTGTTATGTTAGCTCCAAGTGTTTTATGACCCATCTAGTTAAACCTGACAAGTCATAATACCTGAAATTAAAAAAAGGATACAACATCAAAGCTATGCCCGTCACCTAACAAGCATGCAGCAAACTTACTGTGAGCATTCAGGCAGTTTGGAGAAAAAAAAATGAATGCAACTTTTGTACATTTTGTAATGACATGCGACTGCTACAGGCAAAATACATTTGGACCGACTAAAGCAAACAAAAACCCCCCCAAAAAACATCCGTCCTTAGTTTGAATCCCCACACGTTATATTTTCGGAGATACTTCTGGGAGCTGTCTCATCACCACCCACAGCTGCTCTTGATATTTGTTTTAGCCATGAGCAGCTCCTCCATTACTCATGTGCACTGCATTGCGGGACAATGGTGTCCATCAACAACACACTCCACAAATATTTAGTATGCATACTGACATCTTTGAGTGCCCTTCATTTTGTCACTTTTTTGTACCAACGTACAACATCCTTGAGCCACATTTAGAATTAGTGTGCAGAGTGGGATGGTGATACAGCATTAAAGTGGTCTAGAGACAGAACTCGGCCACAACGGCGTGGGACTTAAGTTTGGAGTACACTCCATAGTTTAGAGCCTCTGACGTTCAACAAAAGACCACCTTTGACGAGTCAAAGACAAAGAAGGATTACCTGCATGGAGTTGGGGCGACCGTTGAAGGGCTGCGGCTCAGTGTAGAACTCGGTGTTGTGGTCCAGCCGTCCGTGACCTCCATACTGATCCTGATCTGAATCCAGCTTGATTTTGTATCTGGCAAAGATTGATGTTAAGGCACAATAGCAGCGGAGAAGTAGATTATAAGATCTAAGACGTAAGAAGCACGGGAGAGGGTTTTATCAGCAGTGCTCTCGGCGTTCAGACTTGCTCGGCTGGTTCATATTCATTGAAATCCTCGCATCCATCAGCGTTTATCTCCCCTTTGCAACATTACAAAGTGACAGAGCGAAGAGAACGTTGCCTGAAATAAACATAACTACAAAAGTGATCAGCCGTCCTGTCTGTCTGTCTTTCCAATGTATCCACTTCACTGCATAAATAATGATTTAATCACAAAAGTGATGCATATGACTTGCAACAAAAACACTGTAAAATAAATCTACTCATCTAGGGATTAATTAATTTCATTTGATTAGAGATTAAGAAAAATAATCTTTGGAAATGAGTAACACAACATGTAAATGAGTTTGATTTTAGGTCTAACCTGACTTACCAAACAATCAATGCCATTTTCCTATAGAAAGACGGTGTACTTTATGTGGGAAATAATGTATCACGCACCCGGTCAATAAAGCCTGCTGTTTCCACCGTGATTCAAGGCAGCAAAACAATAAAACATGCCAAGACAGGGTGATGGTGGTAAGGATCTTTGCTGCACCGAGATAGTTAAATAGATGAAAAACTATTAAGCAGCCGTCAAACATATATAAAATGAAGGGGTGTGAGAGTGTGTGTGTGAGAGTGGCCAATGCCATCCTCCGTGCTTCTGAAGGACGCTCAGACACTGAAGAGCTGACTGCTGGGAGCCTCCATAAGAAGTTTAACGCAGTCTCAGAAAATATGTGCATTTTCTTGAGGGAGAAACAAGATGGAAAGACATTGCAGGAAATACAATATGCCAAATGCTCCACTGAGGGCTTGAGCATACATTCAGATGTTTCCCAGAACTGCAGGATCAAATCAATTAGATTTTGAATTATGCCCGACAGCAAGGTAAATGAAGAATAACAATAGAATAATTGTTAGGAAAGAGCACCCCAAGTTAGTTTGAACAAAGCCCTCCTCCCTTTCTTAAAGTGCTTGACATTTGCACAAGTCCCATCAAAAAACGAAAAAAGGGATGGATGTTGGAATCACTTACAAAGCTGTTATTAATGTCATTGAAAATACAGAAGGCATTTTAAGAGCCTGATTTAAAATGCAAGAAATTGCAGTTTGTCTAAACATATACCCTCAATAGAAAACTCCCCCCCCAGACAGTTTTCCTCTAGTTCTTGGCAGCCTACATGTACACCCCGATGTCCATGTGTAATGCAAATGCCCATAAACATCTGGGCAGTACATTATTTACTCCTACGGGACAGGAGCTCTAAGGAACGGCCCTGTAACAAACACCAGGAGCGAGGAGAAGACATGTAAACAGCTCCCTAATTGGACGGCTGAATAATCACCCGACCTCCCTACAGCAGACATTGTGGAGCTCAAGTGTGATCCTCAAACTTGCCGCATTGTGCCCGGAGCCAGGCCAATTCCTCCTTTGCCGCCTGCGCGTCCGCTTTGATAGTGATGATCCAAGAAAGCGTCGCCCTGTGCATCGTTTCTCCTCCCCCACATCTCCCATGCTCTGCTGTTTTATTGACAGAACAAACTCATTCTGCTCTGCAGTGCAATATCTAATCAGACAAATATGGAAATAGTCTCCCAAGGGTTATGAAGGGTTTCTGGGGAAACGGAGCATGTTTGTGATTTCAAAAAGGTTAATCCTCCCAATACAAACAATGAGAAGCCACGACATGGAGCAATTCACGTGCGCTGTAAATATTTTCCTACAAGTGATTTGGAGGGCAAGCGACACTGCGGTGCTCGTCCACACAGGTTGTAGTGCGTTTCCAGTCATGTGTGATTGCATGTGCACTGCTGGAGCGCATGTCAGTGACACGGAGCGCTCTGGAAATGAGGCAGTTACAGTAATTCCGAGTTCCTTGGCAAAGATCTCTGCAAGGAAGCGAGAAACAGCACAAATTGGTAGTTGAGGCGTTGCGCAATTACGCCTTTGTTAGCGGCCACAGACGGTGGCAACAACAGCAGCTTGCAAGTGCAGCTCTAAAGCATTGCAATCAATAACGCTTTTGTGAATAAAAGGGGAATGGCTTAAGAACACAATCAACTTTGCCCAATGAGCAGAAAGAAAAAGATGGCAGCCATTAATGACCTGAAAACAATCTGGCCTTGACCGTGATTGCAGACCGAACCCCCACTTAGTTTCCCCATCAGGCTGTCGTCTCCCCCCGGTTTTATGAAAGTAATGGAAACCCGATGATGGTTTACAAGAGCGGAGCTGAATGTGGGTGCACATCTTAAGAATGTGGCATTTCCTCACCAGCATTCTAAACGCCACGTCTTGCCTCACCTGGATTCCTCCCGGCCTTCTGCTGAAACTGAAGATTTGTTTTTAAAGAAAAGGGATTCCGTCACTTTGTGTAAAGAAGGTACCATTATGAGTCAGTTTTCCTGGGCATTGAAGGGCTTACTTATTTTGCAAAGTTTCCATGCGTTTTTTTGTAATACGTTTCAGGTGAAGGATTTCGTTGATAGGAGGTGATGCCGATTATGTCGAGTGATTTGGAAGCTGCAGGAGTCCTTTGTGCGTTTGACTGTTGAACTAGACGATTAGATGGTGTGACGAGAACACTTTTGATTATTGCGATTCAGAAAGAGAATCTAATCTCCTGTGTTTGCTGATGTGGTTGATGAGTATGGTTGTTTTGCAATGAGCCTCATGCCTTATATTAAATGATTTACTCAGGAGTTTGGGGTGTTTGAGCTGCAGCTTATGGTACGTGCACGAATAACTGCTTCATCTACCCGTTTAGTGTCTTCTGTAGATGTTAACGGAGCAAACGTTGGCTGCTCTTCACATATTTTTTGCTCCATCAGATTTGACATCCTTACGATTTCATCATAATCAAAAACTATTAAAAAAAAGACCCAAGTCAGGATGAAGTTTAACTTCCTGTAAAAAAGCAGTACTACCATTTGTCTCCAGCTTTTGAACACGACGGTATTTGGATTTAACACGAGGCCAACGGATTGATGAGGATGTTTGTGGGGGATATCTAGCCGCAGAGAAAAGTAATGTAACTTTGTTCAAGCAATCCATCTTGATGCGTCACAATTTCAGAGACATATCTGATACATTCTCGATCGGTGTACATTTTATTCTAGTTTGTTAGTGTCGCTGCCCCCGTAGACGAATTATTCCAAATGGAATTCAAGGAACGGCTCAGACAGAAAAGGAGAATGATGACCTGACACCATCTCAACTGCCTTTTGGCAGAGTGTAAATCAAAGCCCAATCGGCCCCGACAGGTACAGCTTTCATCATGACGGTATCCTACTCCGATTTAAAATACTCCAACCAGTCAGATAAATAGCAAGCAAGATGGCGCCTCGGTGCTTCGCTCGCTCTCGTACTTTTTCGGTTTGTCTCTTTCCGCAGGAAGGAAGCCAGCTCAGGAAGTACAGCCTTCCTCGGGAGCTGCTGGTTCCATCTTCCATCCCTGTGTTGTTTGGATCGGCCACTAGACAGGAGGCACAGGACCGGGACAGACGACTACGGACTGTCTGCAGAGAGAATCATTGATTCCAGTCTGCCCTCCATCCTGGACTCCAGTCAGGAAATATCACTGGAGACCTTCAGACGACCCGTTTCATCTCAGAGCACCGTACGCCAAAACCAATGTTTACACCTGCACCTATTCTTTTTTTGTGCTGTCCTTGTTATCGTTTTTGTAAAAAAGGGACTGTACATACAGTATGTGGAGAGCAAAAGATAAGCATGCATAAGCACAGGTGGCCAACACAACAGTTTCTGATGAAGCCGAATGCTGGAAGAATGTCTCCACCATGACAGAGAGAAAATAATGAAACAAAATAAACAGATTGATTGAGTGCCTGTCGAAAAGTCCACGCTGAGTGCATTTTAATGGCCAATATTTTCGAGAAAAAAAGAACACATTCAGAAGAGGCAAAAGAGTCACCGTAGCGAAGGCCCGGCACTAAGAGATGATGACCATATTGCCGCAGAGTTATTTATCTCAAAGTTAAGACTGCAGACTTTCAGTTTTACATTGTACTGCAAACACAAAAAAACTCTTTTCGCTTTTCAGCAGTAACACATCTGAACAGCATCAGTTATTTCCATCATGATATTCAAAGCATTTCTCATATCATATCCAATTTGCCATATTGCCATTGGAACTAACAGACACACTCTTACGAACGGTTCAAAAAGCAACACTTAGTCAGTAGCCCTAAGCGTCAAACTGTGACCCATCTGTGTCAGATGTGGCAATGTAATATTCTATTCCCTTCATGCCCAACGCATTTTCTAAATAAACCATCTTCACAGGAAGCTGGGTTGCGGCAATAAAACAACTTAGTTATGTTAAGGATTTGATTCCCGTCGACGTTGACTTGACTGAGCAGCGACTCGCGTCACGTGACTCAAGACTGACGGGACAAAAAACGGCAAAACTCCTTTTGTTTTGCACACGACACAAACAGTCCACCTCTCTGTACTACGCAGTGTCATCTATGAGGACATGGATGAGTTCACACAGACGTTCGATCAAAGCCCCGCGTGGTGGCATCACACGCAGAAGGGCTATCTGTCGGTTTATTTGACGCGGCGGAAGTGGGACCAGGTTGAAATGAGCCTGTGTTTTGGATCCATTTTCAGTGGTCAGCTGCACGCAGCCATTATTTTTTTGAGACACAGCAATGGTGTGGGGCTACACGGTGACATCCCGGACCCTCACAGGTAGAAGAAAGTTTAAGTGCACGACAGCAGAGTGTGATGAAAAAAAACCCCTTTTGGACTCTTAAGAGGCAGAGGAGGTAAACAAGACAAGCTCAGAGTGGCACTTTCATCGCTCTTCTCTCCTAATTGGATCCTCTGCACACATTCCCATCGGAGGATCTGCATCTCCTCATGCACACACGCCACATTTACCTTCCCCGCACACAGCACATTTGCCTTTATGTGTTTACTGCATCTCTGTATAATGACAGCCGGAGCTTTGCCCTCACATTTATTTGCATTTCCTCTCAACCCACCAAGTGTCTGAGGCTGCTCCTTACACATCAAAAGAAGCACCGGGAGGAAGAGACGTGGTTCCATCTAAATGAAAATAAACCCTCAAAAACGGTGTTACAGACACTGCGCAGTAGGGCCATTAGTGGCATGCCCGAGACTCACATCAAGGGAGAGCCGAAAAACACCAGGCAGAAAGTGCAATTACTGCACATCAAACAGGGTTACAATCAACGCTGGCTGTTAAGAGATTAGCGGTCAAATTTTTAGTCAAACTTGTAGCTCTGTCTATGTTCTTTTTGTCTTTATCTTTTAACTTGGTGATTAACACTTTTTAAAATAGTTTTATATATGCGGTTATATGGCATTATAATGCAACCAACAGTATATCATATAATAATTGTCCAATAATGATTGATTGTCCGTAATAGCCAGGCAAAAGGAATTAAATTCCTTTCCCTCAATTCCTTAAATGATTTGAGAAGTCATAAAACATATTGTCTGAGATTGTTGAACCTTTTTTCCCCTTCCTTTTAGGGCATTTAGGTAGGAGTTTTACTGATATTAGACAGAAGCATCATTTTCCATTTAAATGAAACAAATTTCAAATGCAGAAATCGGAGGACCAACTGCTGTTTAACAGCCTCGTCAGCCAAAATAATCGTTATTTGAGAATGAATGGTTCATGCGCAGCCATTTGAGCCGAGGGGCGCCCAGAGAAAACGAACAAACTCTCTCTGCGTTCCGGCTTGCCATTTCGTTATTTAAAGGCATAGCTGAAAAAGCCACACAGCTTCGTATCCATGCGGTAAACTGTTGGCGGTGGCTTCAGTGGGCCCCAGAAGAGAGTGATGTCCCGTAATAATAAATACAAATCTGTCAACTTCCAGTCCCCATTCACATCCCTGATCATTAAGCCTGCTGTAATCACAACTCTGGAACTCATTAAATTCCTCTGTGCGGCTCACTGGGAAGAAAGACAGCCAATGCCTCTAAAGAGAGCGCTTTCTGAATCACTGCGCTCTGCTTTTATTTCTCTGTGATAGCATAATATCACCATAAACAACGGACTCGTATTCCTCTCAACAGCGACTGCCAATATTACACCACTAACGTATTAGCCTCGGAGAAAAACGGCGATCAAAATGCCAGTTCTTTGCAAATCACATTCACTGAAGTCTGACACGATTTAGATCCCTGATCCACTTTCCATGATTCCACGGCTGCTGCGACATGGTTAGCACGCAAAAGCCGCAGCTGAAAAAAGTCCAGCAAATGCAACATTTGCTAAAAACTACAGCAGAGAAGTTCTTTTTTAAATTTCTCGTAAAGAATAAATAAACTATATAATGACGTCTTTTCAAAATAATCCTATTCATGATCCTAACAACAAGGTGTTAACACGCACATAGATCATGTAATTCCTCCCTTTTCAACAGACATGCACCGCTGTAATATCAGCAGTTAGTGGGTTTGTCAGGACAAAAAGATTTGTCATTTCTTTGAATGGCAGAAGTAGCTAACAACAACATCATTACTGGTGTGAGTGACAGAGGAAAGCAAATGTCTGACGATTAAAAAAAAAAAAAAGGATACCTTCCTGGAGCTTCTACAGCAACCCTGTAGTCCTGGAAGCTCTTACTTGGGTGGAAGTTGAAGATAAAGACCACGTGTCCCCTGTCAAACACAATGACCTTGTCCTCTCCATGCTTGGCGCTGACAAAGCCCTGAAGGGAGAAAAAGATAGAGGGAGAACAAGCTAATGAAATATTTCCTCATGAATAGTCATTACCTTTCTCATCTTGGATTTAGAGAGTTCTAATGGGACACATTATATCAGTGAGCTACACATTTCCAAATAGGGCAACGTTCCCGCACCGCGTTTCAGGTGGCACTCATCAGCAGAAAGCACCGGGCCAGGATGGTGCGAGGGACGCGCTGACGGCTTTAGACAGCTGCACATTAAAAAGTCACCACTCTCCTGCGGAGCGCGCCACTGTTAACGCGTCATTAGCAGAGATTATCAATGTCACCCAACCCCCTATTTTTAGTGTCTTGTTCGCCAAAGCCAATTTCAGGGCAGCATATGCACGGCTGAACGAGAAGATAAGCATCCCTGCTGCTGGACCGGCTGAAAGGATGGAGGTTATGGGGTGAGGAGACGAGGAGTGAGTCCATTTTTAACGGGAGAAGCCCTGCGGAGAAGAACTGCTTCGACGTCAGAAAAACAACAACAACCTGCATCCGTGCTGCTAGGACCTGATGAACAAGTACTGTTGACTTTCTCAAATAAATGAATGTAAAACTTAATTAACAGACTTGACGTTGATTATGAATTGTGATTATATTCAGAATTTGTTGTGGAAAATACAAAATGATCATCTAACCTATTATTATTTTCATGCAAGAAACATACCTCCCTAAGACACAGTAGGCCAAAGATTGTGGTTTGAAGTTTCTGTCTCTGCATGTAGCATCTGATCTGAAACACTACTGGGGGAGCAGGGTAATCCCTCCGTAGACCCACTTGTGACCTCAGCAATGAAGCTAGCGTTCAAACATTTCCATAAATGGTGATTCTGTGTGATAATGATTAAAAAATGTAACGTTTTAATGAATGTTTGGGTACACAAACTTTTTTCACTGGTAAAAATTAAAGGTATATTTATCTTTACATATGACTAGTAAGTAAATAAATCTAATGGATAACGAATTGTTTGCATGCCAGTTAAGTAGTGCTGGTTAAAGTAAAACACAGACTACCTTAGATGCCATCGTCTGTGTGTACTGGTTTATGTACATTTCCTCACGGCAAAACCCTTCAAGAGATGCCGAGCACTTCAGCTCAGGTCCAGAGTTTGGTCTTTTGAAGAGACGTGCACAAGAATCACACTTTTAAGCAGAGCCCTTGCATGTTTCAAACATATGCTAAGTTCACATGCACTTGGGACAACAGGGAGATTTGCCAGTAAATCCTCTTCTGCTTGTCAATTAAACTAGAGAAAAATCCTTGAAAGCTCCCAGTACAGAGATATATTCAACCCAGCTATAGAACATTCCCTCTAAGCACGATTACCATGGCAATGTCATCGATAAGCTGCACAGAGGATTCTCATTTGGTTATTACACAATCTCTCGGTAGTTATTGGCTTATCGGTGAGTGATGTTCTACGAAGTCTTTTTGTGATATTGTATCAATCTCTGAAAAAGGCCATTCTGGTCCCTTCTAGTCTTTTAACACGAGCTGCACAGACCACATAAAGGATCCCGTTTTGTCTGCTCATCATTAGCATCAGGACAGTATAAATGGTTTCTGAGTAGGCCTTCATGTGCCTTGATTCAGACGTCCCTCCACTCAGATCGAGCCTTGGAACTAATATGGACTAAATCGGGAGGTACAAAGACACTGTCCGATTCTAGACGTACATTATAGCAGCACTTTTAGTTGCTCCACCTCAAACAAGGGAATTGTTTGCGGTGATAAATCGGAAGAACAAAAGTAGATGAAAATATAATCATATATGTTATGTATAGAAATAAATACACGTTCTCTCAATCTATATGATTTCATACATTGGAGGCACAGCGAAAGCCAAAAGAAACAGCGTTGAATGTGTAGCAGGACTCAGGACTGATGCCAAACATATGCATCTTTCCTGCCAGTAGCATCCTCCGGGAACAGCAGTCCTCCCCTCCTCCCTGCACAAAAGGAGCTCAGAAATCAGACGGGCTCTGACGTTTTCCTTTGCCTCACCTCCAACGCTCCGTTTCATCAGGTTATAAAGGCTGTAAGAGTCAGAACACACTTCTGATCGAAAGGCCAATTTACAGAAATTACACTTGTGAACCAGACATGTCCCTAATTATGCACTCTGATACGACATGTTCCCCTCTGCTGCATCTGTCTGTCCATCTGTCTGTCGAGGAGAAAAGCCCGAGTGTAATGCGCCAAGGTGAAGTATAGCTCTAATCTGACGACTTGATTCCCGGGGATGTGAGGGAGGGTATTTTTTGAATCAATTACACAGACTCCCCTTCTAATCCCTGTCAATTTCTCCACACTCTCCATTTGCATTATCCCATTACTTTGCTGCTGGCCCCTGAAGAGAAAAACATCATTTTCTTTCTCTCGTGGGCTTCAAATGTAGGCAAAAAGAGAGGATGCCGGATGAGAATGAAATCTATTACTGTTCACCTTGACAGCAGCCAGACAATCAGGACATCTTCAAAATGAACTCTCCTTAGGGTGCATATATCACCACCTACCTGAGTACTCCAATGTGGAAAGAAGAAGACGGAGGCTTTGGAAATGTATTCATTTGTGAAAATAACTTTTTTCTTTTTTACCAGAGCAAAAACATTTATGAGCAGTTTGCTGAAACCTGCTGCAAGTGACGAGGATGCTTCAACAATACGTTGCCGTATCGCGTCGTCATTGGGAGTGTGTGTGTGCGCATAGTGCTCATTTCACAGCGAGTGTGCAGTGTCCTTACAGGTTGGGCAGCCAGCCAGCCGTACTGGTCTTCGGTGCGGTTCATGTCCCGGTCAAAGGCGTAGAGCTGGTGGTAGCGGAGGTGATCCGTTTCCAGCAGGTTGAACTGCCTGCGGGCGTAGTGGTAACTCTGATTGTTCCCCTCTCGAGGGAAATCCAGCCACTCAGGATGGCCGAACTCATTCCCTGCAACACAAGAGTGTGTAATTAAGGAAGCTACATAACGAAGGGGAAGGCATGCTGTGTTCGCATGCTCGGTGAGGTTCTATTTCAGGTTTTGTGCAGGGTTTTTTTACTTTTATTTTTAAAGACGAGAGCGATCAAAGCGGCCAGAGTCAGCAACCTTCGTATAACCCCAGCCGAGGTTAGTACTTCCCATATTAAAAAACAGAGCCCCGGTGCTCCTGCGATGTTTTCACCATCTACAGTGTACAAACATTACTGTCACACAGGACTGTGCCCTTTCATGAATAAAGCCTGGAAAGGGGAAAAAAAACATTGCAAAAAAATCCCATAACTTTCACTTGAGTCTCACCTCAACAAAGTTATGCAAAAATAGTTCACCAGCATTTATTTATATATTAATTCACCAAGAGCAAACAAGTCAATGCTGGAAATGGGGAGAAACTGCTGAGAAGAAAAGAGGAAATTCAACACTCTTCATCACAGTGTTGATTAATTCATATTAATTACATCATGAACTAAATATCTGAATGTTTCCGCACCCTCAAAAACCACCAGTACTGCACTTTTCAAGTAACAACCCAAGATTTTTTCCTCTTCCTTAACATATTTTAATTGAGGAAAAGCCAACGAGGGCCAGTATAAAAAAAAACTTCAGAGTAGCAGCATCAAAAGAGAAGGAGTCACACGGTCCAGAAGCAAAGCCAAACATATATACTGCCGAAGTGTTGGAAACAGCGGTCTTGTTGCTACACTGCTGTCACGCCCGGAGAAGAGATAATGAATCATTCATCAGATGTCACCACATCATCATAAAACAACAGCCGGGATAATTGAATTCCTGGCAAAGGAAGAAACGCACAGACAAGAGACGGAGTAAGATGCATGACAATAACAACAATAATACAGGCTAGTTGTTTGCAGGGCCAGCAGCACAACCTCCTCAAAGAAAAAAAAAAAGAAATAAAATCTGAGGGGTTGAAGTGGAACAGACAGGGGCTGACAGCAGATTCTAATGAAATACATTATGTAGGTGTTAAAGAAGTAGCAAACAATGAGGCGAGGAATGCCAGCAGAAGCAGCCCTCTGCAGCACTTGCCTTGGAATTAGGGCAGCAAAGACAAACACAGAGAGGGAGGGAGGGAGGAAAGGGCAAAGCGAGAGAGAGACACTTTACTTGTGACATCTGCATGAATAACAAGCCTCCTACACATCTGAACTTGAAGTGGAAAGAAAGGAGAAAATTACATCTCAGGCTTGAAACACTGGCAGTCAAAAGGAAGATTTTCTTCCTTGCACTACAACAAGAGAAATGTGTTGGTATTTAACATGCAAACAACTCAGTAAGCGCACACACACACACACACACACACACACACACACACACACACACACACACACACACACACACACACACACACACACACACACACACACACACACACACACACACACACACAGCAAAAGACTAGAAAGCCTCTTGTGATGAGACCTTGTGCATGTATGTAAATCAGTGTCTGGCTTTCACTTTACATTCCTAGAAACACTATGTTACAGACTTAAGACCAGACTTTTCCTGGCACGACTGAAGACCGTCACATTCTGGGACACTTATGGGAGTAGTCTTCTCAAGTTTCAGGCTCACAGTTTTGACCGAGCTGTTTTTGCATCTGCTGTAGCAACAGAAATTTGTAATTTTCCCTATAAAGGTGGCAGCCGCTCCGGGCAACGTCACAGCCTCGACCACAAGACGGCGGCCGGTACGTCTGGTAGGTGCGACTGCCCTTGAGACAGAAAGCCGTTGGAAGTTCTTGGTTGTGCTCTGCTGCCACGAAAAAGACAGTCCAATGTGTCAAATCTTCCCAGCGCCCTCACAAGCCTCAAGGATGAAATAGTCCAATTCAAGACTCTTCCTCAGCGGTCATCATCCTCCCTCTGCGTTCAGCGATGACACCACTTTCAACACATTTCGACCGAAAAAAAGAAAACGTTGAATTGTTTGGTTACCAATGTGCACTGAACGATGAGGCGCTAGATATTAGCCACCCCTGGACACATACACCGGGGTATGTGGGCATGTAGGCAGCACTGTGAAGGACAACCTCAGGCAATGGGGAGAAATTGTTCAATGCCGTGCTGCACCGGCCCCCAAATCGGCCATCCTGGATACTGACGGGGACAAACGTGTGTATGTAAAGAACTGATCGCGGCTGACTGAGCGTACTAGTTGCAGATGCCCAGTCCACCATATGAAGCTACATCAGCAAGCTTTTCAAGCACCAAAGTCTCTCAGCCGGGAGCAGATTTTTCAAACTTACAAATCCAGTCCCCTTCACTTGTGATTAATGCAAAGACATTAAACAGAAACAGATTCCTTCTTTCTAACTTCCCTAGTGGGCATTTGGGTTTACCCCACATCTGTGCTTTACACTGGGAACAGGGACTTTGGAGACTTACTTTGTCGGTGGTTCACCAGCTTTGTGGGGTTGAAAAATAAACGTTTTTAGGTGATATGAGTCAATTAGATGATTTTGTTAACAAATTACCCACCGTAAGCATGTGTTTGATAAGGAATTGCATCAATGCTATCCTAAAGTACGTAGGGGCTTCCCCAAAGGGGCGATTATAAGCTCAGGTTGATTAGCCGAGCAGTCACATGCACAGCACAAAGAATGGGGGAAATGAGTGATTCATGGAATAACATTAGCGTTAGTAAACTAACGCTGTAAGAAAGATGCTGTCTGCATCCAACGGGATTGTGCTGAATGAAAAATGTGATGGTATAATTATAATAATTTGATGATCTTATTTCATGAACAGACACAGGATTAATTTCTCGTTTTACAATGGCAGTCCCTGCTAGCATAAGATTATGTTGAATCAGGTAGAGTTAGCGTAATAAAAGACAGATCAAGAGGGAGCGATGGCAAAAAAGTTTTCAGATACTCTCTCTGTAGGGCATCAATACGTGATGTTCAGTGCATCATTAAATCTTTTTGTCCTTCCTCTTTCTGGCTTAACAACATCTATTGGGTACTTTTGGCTTCACTAAATTCCCAGAATGATTTTCAACCTCCGCGTTGCATCGGGTACAAGTCGGTGGTGTGAGTGGTATCAACCACTGTAGTAACAAACATGTTCTGGTGAAGACAGAGTGTGAGCTTCAGAAATAGGCAAAGTCTGCGGCAGACTGGAGTCCCTTCCATCTGATGCCATCAAGATACTCACTGAACATACCAGAGAGTACTGGTCCACCCCCCCTCGCACTCAACACGCATCTTTTTCCATTCTCACGCATGTCTTCAAGTGGGTTCATGCATGCGGTTATTGATAAACTTTGCATTCAATTAATTAATTATTTTTTTTTTTCCTCTGCTGCATCTGCCCTTTTCACCTGGATCATGTCGGAGAGTGAGAGCATCCATGTCATTGACCAACCAAATGCAATGACACAAGCGGAGTTTAAAAAAACTAAGCAAATTTCTAATCTGATACTGACAACAATTGTTTCCCCATCAGCAGCCCCCGACGGCTCACTTCTGTCTCTGACCTTCCAGCCTGAACTGCTGCTAAAGACCCGGTTTCTCTGTTCGTGGTAGTTTTTTTTTTTACTGCCACAAAAACACAGCGTCACTTGCTGTCGATGACGATGATTTTCTCCCCCTGGTCCCCAAGTAGCGCTGACGATGCAGAATAGGTCACCAAAACTGTCTAATGAATAAGTTGCCCATGAGTCCATGTTTCCAACTCGAGCTTTGTTTGCAATAACTTAGTTTCAACCCCAAATGGACTTGAACAAATAGGAAACATTGGATCATTTTTGGTCTTTGGTTTAGAACGCGGGAACCGAACAGGCGTGAACAGCGCCGGGGCAAAAATAGTGAGCGTATAAAAGAGGAACTGCGGCTCAACGCTGCTCTTGAGATATTTCAATGCGATGCGACTTCACAGTTCTGAAAATGATCTTGTTAAAGTTTTCAATGACATCGGCTTAAACACAGACATTACAGTTACTGGATCCCTGATACAGGCTACCGGAGCAACACTAACAGCAACATTAACACATTAACACTAACACAACATTAACAGTCCACACCAGCCTATTTTGCCTGTATTTGCTTTGATTTTTCCCTAATGTTATTGTTTTATAAAGTCTCGTAGAGATGATGGATTTCCCGTTCAGGTTGATTCAGTGCCCCTGTTGAAGTCTTTGTCTCTTTTCATTTCAGCTTTAGAGAAACACATTGGACACACCTCCATTAGGTAATCATTCCCCCTCTCCCCTACGATAACACGCCAATGTTCCTCCCATATGCCTGCATTAATCACTGCGATAATAACCGTCCTCTGCCTCCTCACAGCTGAAATAAACCAGATAGCACTTTCTGTAACGAGGGTAAAATATGATGGATTCCCATCACAATACACATGTGAACAAAATCATCATTCATGTCTCAAACTACATATGGGGTACCGTTATCTGAGATAAAATACCATGAGGGGTTTCAGTTTATACAAACAACGTTTTTAACATTCCTTAAAAGGATAATTGCATTTTTTGGTCTACAATGAAGTCCGACATGTGGATAAACACTAGTCAGGAAGGTCAAGATGCAAACATCCAGATTTGGGCCAAATCCTCTGTCGGCCAGAATGGCATTTACAAGTAAATCTCCAAATTCTACTAGAGCACCATTATTAGAGAGCAGTTATTGCCATCTGCATGACACTCAGCATCCCAAACCAAAAATATCCAAAACCACTGCCAAGAAATGTGACACCGAGGTGCATTGTCTCCAGAGGATGAATTGTGTGTGTATCTGAATTTCCCTCTCCTGCCACAAGCTGCTTAACCTTTGTGATTCTAAGTGAAACAACGTAATCCATCATTGATGTACAAGGTGTCGGATTTCAACATTACAGCTCACCCACCACATACTCAGAAGTCATTAACTGAGGAGTCAAATTAAATGTTATCATAGCCAATAAGAGATCAGACAAAATTACATTTAATGGGTAAAAGACTTTAAACCCCTATTGTAAGAGGCAAGCGATGCTTACAATTATGGTGGTTCTAATAAACATGTGATTAATCGGCAACAAGAATTTTCAAACAAGGTTATGTGCGACGGCTTTTCAGCTGGCACGTCCCGTTGCTCCTCCACACAGCCCTGCATCAGATAAGGGCCTGACAGTGACACAGTCCCCCCCCCCGAGTAATTAGCAGCACAAGAAGGAGCCAAGGATCAATGTGTTTTCCATTGGAGGGATTCTGGCAAAGGAAGATCGATGAGGTGATCGGGGGGGGGGGGGGGGGGGGGCAGTAAGGGGGCACAGGTTTCAGATGTAGTGAAATAAAAATGAAAAAAAAAAAATGTACAAACACGATGCAATGATTATTTGCACCAGCTAGATCGATTTCCTGTTACTGCGTCAACAGACTCCTCCAGTCACAGTTTGCACATAAAATGAGCATTACTGGTCCAGCAGCAGCGTCAGTGCAGTGCGGTGCAGTTAGCTCTCAATGAGATGATCTATTTGAAATGTATGAGGAGGGAGCTCTGGTTCTAACATCACTGTCCTAGGCTGGCGTATAATAGTTGCCTGCTTAGTAGCAATCCATAAAATACAGAGTGCTTGGGAGAACTTTTTTAGCTCAATGATTTTGACTGTAAATCTGCAAGGTTATCTTAAGTGTCTGGGAGGCCTGAGAGTCAGAAAGAGCAAGTGCCTCCGTTCTGTCCCGGCTGACGTAATGATAAAACCACTGAGGCGTTTCATTAATGCAGTGCCACTCAGCCCTTTGATGTCATTGACACTGCATCCTTCACTGTATCCGTCTCCCAGCCGCTCAAAGGCCGACGCTCCCTCCGTCCCCTTGCTGCTCGGCATTGGTCATGAGTAAATAAATGGGTTTCTCAGTTAGACACGTCCAATTGATTTGCTTGCTCAAACAATTTGCTCTTGCTCAGCTCCGACTAAATGACTGTCGACATTGATCACATGACACGACATGTTGTCTTAGATCTACTTGACTTTTCTCCCCCCCCCCCCGTCCCCCAATGATCTACCGAAAGCCGTAAGTTGTCAGGGATGAACTATTGAGCGGTGCGTTACTTTGAAACTTCTTCATGCTTCAGGATCATTTTAAGCTTTCATCCATTATTCCTGTTATCACACGGTGGTAGAAGTATTCTAGTTCTCGTACTAGTCAGCCAGCAGTTCTCAAAAGAAAATTATACTTTAGGTTTTTGTGAGTCCTTAGTTCTGGTCTCCTTTCCGTAACCGCTATTCAAATATTAGACAAAATGGTGTAAATTTAAGTTTGAAATGCAAGTTTGTGGTAACTCTGCCAACTCGGGTTTAAAAGAAAATAAAGCGCAATTACCGGGAAGCATAATTGTGAAGTAAATCACATCGGAGTCCTTTTGTTACAGCTGTATCAATATTAAAACAGAGTCGATGCTTCTATGATGCAACACCTACAAACTAAACAGATGTACCGATGCATGAAAGATTTAAACAAGAGGAAAAATGGAAAAAATCAAAACAATCGCTTTAGAGAAAACTAAGGGGGAGGAGGAAAGTCGTTTGTGTGATAAAGTGTCCATCTGTTCCTTCAGTAAAGCGGGTAATAAAAGGCTTGCAGTCTGGCCCGTAGAAAACTGCATCAACAAGAAGAATTAGCTGTGATCTAGAGGCTGATGAGGGTTGATGTTTTACCGCATTATTTCAAGACAGGCGGAGGACTTCGATGGAATCTAAAGATTTACATTCTTTAGCTCATATTTCAAGTGAATATAAATGAAGAAAGTAGGTTGTTATCATCGACACCCATTTCTCAATGTCTATTATTTTAGCAACTCTAATTAAGATTTATTTCATTAAACATTGAAAGGCCGGATGTGGAATACGTAATGCAAGAATTGGAGTAGTGGAGCATGGACAAATGTAGAGATAGTATAAAAATGAATATTTTGCACATTTTACTACTTAGACAAGATGTTCATTCCCATTTTTTGTCAATAGAAAGTGAAAATAATACATGCCCTCTAATTCCCATTCTGACGACTAAACATGAAGTGAATAGTGCAAAACTAGTCTCAGCTTAACAAATAAAGTTCTTACAATGAGTCCCATGTTGTGTACTTTAACATTGCTTTATTTAGCCAGATTGGAGCACTTCAATGTGCAGAGCATCGATTCAGTCCTCAACTCACAAGAGACTCAAGAGACTCAGCTACTGTAAATGTATATGCTTACGACTATGCAATAATGCAGTACATTTGATCAGAAGATGCATGGAAAAAGCAATCAGTTAAAGTTAAGAAGGCAAATGAGCAGTTTAATTAGTTTTCATAAAAAAAAAGATAAGAATTAGCATGACATCATTATCAAATAGCCATTTAGGGATTTTTTTTTCAACCACTACACCATCACATGATGATTCTGATGCTGCACTGATTAAGAGTAAAAGTACATGGGACACAAAACACCAAGAGCACAGCAGAGTGGGACTTTTAGCGAACACTCGAGCCAGAGGACAAGATATGATTACGATCAATTGTCCTTCAACTGCCCACAGGGGGTCAGTTAGGAGCAGCGCTGTTATGATTGTCTGCCGCTTTGATTATGTCCCCCACCCTCCACCACACATGTCCACCCCCCTCCTCACGACATCATCAGCAATCTCCACAGTAAGACGGGACATTACAACGAATACTGAGCGACAGTGGATTCAAGGAGCTTGACCAGATCACCCGGTCACCAGGTGGAGCTCAAATACTGTGGATCACAAGGGCAGGCCGTCTTTACCGTCGGCTCATCCAAGGAAATGCATTCCCTTCAACCAAGGTCGACCTCCAACAACATCAAATATAATTGTATTATCTTTATCACCAGGCCTCAATAAAGTATACAGCAGCTCAGATGATATGAAAAGAATCTCAGCAGTGACTGTGAAATGGAATCAATGCGAGAAATAAAAAATAACCTATCTGATCTCAGATCGCTTTCGTCCTGTATTTCACCATCATCTCTGGGAAGTATTAATGTCAACCCCACTTCAAAAAGGTTCCTTTGATGCTTATCATCCCCTTCGACTCGTTGGTCGCGAGCTACTCCGAAGATGCATCCATGAAAGAAATATATGGAATCTAATAATTGAACACTTCAACCCAAAATGAAAAAAAAGTGGCACGGTCTTCGTCAAGCTTGAAGCCTTTGAGAATTAAGAGATCTTTATTACTGCAAAGGCTAATTCTGTTTTTTGAACCCTGAAGCTGACGAAAAAAATGATATCTACAAAATAAAATGCACTAATCACCTCAAACAGCAGGAGGAATAGCTCGTCACTTAAAAATGTATTGTGAACCGGTTTCTGTGGAGGACTTTGACTTCTTCTGTGGAGGGACAGGAGAATAAATGTGCATTTCTATCCATTCATTGAACTCTTAAAGGATTGATGTGTCCGCCTGAGGGGAGAGCTTCAAATCCAGGATGAATACGGTACATGAGAGAGATCTAAAATGAACTCTCAACAAAGAGTGAACCAAACCGAAGGACGATGCCTCACAATGACGATCCCACCTGCCTCTTGACTATTCGTCATACATCAATAATATGACCAGTTATATATAGTATATTTGTAGGTATATTTATACATCTATTAGATACATATATTTATATACAAGCAATTTGTATGCAATGTCAAAGATTGTAATACATGCGAGAGCGGAATCGATAATATTGTACAATATGTAAAAATTAACTTTACACAAAAACCCAATGACAGGACTAGTAGTAGATTGCCAGTATAAATCCACCCCGAATTGACCATCAAAGATTTCACATAAGGCGGACGCAACGTTTCTGAATGACTACTCACTCAGTCACCTCATATCTCGTACAGTCTTTCTATACAATATCATTTCTAGACAATTGTAGTTGTTAGATCGATCGATAGATTGATTGTGAGCACAATCGCTCACCGATGAAGTTGAGGTAGCCTTCTCCACCCAGAGCGTGAGTGAGGAGGCGGATCATCTTATGCAGCTGCATGCCGCGGTCAATGACGGCGGTCATGGGAATCAGGGAGCTCATGTTGGTGTACATCTCCTTGTCCATCAACCAGAAGGCCAGACTCTTATCCCCAACCAGGGCCTGGAAAGGTGGCTTGTGTTTTAGAACCCAACAGCAACATAATCCAGACACTTGAAAAGGTGGGATCTCGTAGAGAGTGGCCTACCTGATCGTGACTCTCTGCATAGGCTATGCATTTCTCTCCATAGCGCCTGTTGGTCAGCGTGTGTACGATGTCGCCCATGTCCCAGTCCTCATCCTTTGACTCCTTCAGGATCTACAGGGTGACACGGTGGGGTTATTGAAAAGGAAGTGATGGATGTGTAGCCGAGAGATCCATTCAGGCTCTGACTGATGTCTGGAGCTCGGTATTTCGGTTCCTGGCACTCTTTCTACCATTCTTAAGTTTTCTCCGGCTTGCACGGCTTTCTCAGATCAATCTCTGTTTTGACATCTCTATATCCGCGCTGTGAGTTATATCTACCTTTGAATGGCGGTAATGGAGTTTTTAATAACTTCTTTACAGCCCACGGGTGTTAAGGCATCGGCCCTCCCCACTTGAGACGGGCAAGGTCAGAGCCTCTCATCCTAACCGAGGGCCTCAACAATAAATCCAACCACGGAATCAATGTCCAGCTGGCCTGCCTGCATGCACGCTTGCTGCTGCTGAAAAGGTCATTTTCAGGAGGTGGTCGAGCTAACGAGAGCACAGGGGCAAAATAAAGATAATCAGAGTCGTGGGCAACGGAGAGGATTGAAGAAAAGAAAAGAAGGATGTTAGAAAGCCAAAATCTCTATATCACTATTAAATGGAAAAATAAGAGGGTTTATGCCCTCCAAGAACCCTTGGTGATAGACATGCAGCCTGAGATGGGCTCTGCTACCCCCCCCCCCTCTCAGTGACAGGCTGAAGTCTGCTCGGTGGAATTTGCTGTGACAGCTGATTGACATGTCGGGAAACCTTTATATTACTCTACAGAGCCATAATCCTCGGAGTAAAGAAGGTAATTGTGTCGATCAATATGTCTGAGATGAACTGGCTGGTCCACCTAAATAGAGGCTCCCGCGCTCTATACATCACCATCTGTTCACATTCACTCTTCCTAACCTTCGCCTTGTGTGGCAATATATTAGTCATTCCCACCGGCAGCAGAAAAACCTCCGTGAGGCACTTCTCATCTGCATGTGCTACAAATTCTCAAGCCGCTTAACTCTCTCTGAGCTCGGTGCATTGCCTCAGATCGGTCGGGCCAAGCCACGCCGGCTGTTATTTGGTTTCAGCTCAACACGGAGGACCTTATACCTCGGAACAAACAGCACTGTTATTTCAACAATCACAGTTTAACAAGTGTCTTCCCTCGCCCCAGATGTCGTGTTTGATCTAGTGTTCACCTGTTTTTGTCCCAAGTAACTGGATTTAATGGAATTAATGTAGTCCATGTTGTCCTTTGAACATGTTTATTGGTTTAGTTGATTTGCTTGTGTTTTTTGAACGTACCATTTTTAAGTGCAGCAAGTGTAATTAGTCATAAACATTTAAAGTTAGAGGAGGATGAAAAGGTATGAGGGCAGGAACGACAGGCAAAGACGCCTTATAAGTCATCAATATATCAAAACAAACAGGTTAAAAAGTGTATTCATTCGAGGCATTTTAAACTGAAGCTGTTTCACAAAGCAGATGGTCCAAACTTTACAATCAGAGGTACTGTACTTGGTACATAGAACGTACTATGCAAACCTAGTGGAGGCTAAAAAAAAATGATTGAAAAACATTGCATCACATACATGACATCTGTGAAAACGGTCATGACTATGCATATTTGATCAAATTAAATGGCCACTAATAATGATGGCAGATCATTCAGTTATCCAGTTTATGTTTTGATAATTCTAAACAAAAATGTGTTCGGTAGATCTGTAGCAACATTGAGAATATTACAATAAAATGGTTGATAAATGGATAGACTGAATAGTAATAAAGTTTTAAATTGAATTTCCCTCCTGCAACTATGTTTAATAATACATTTTATTTAGAACAAATAAATTGAATTGTTTAGAATACAACACCAGCTGGAAACAAATAAATCTAAATAATAATGCCCTCCTTTTTTACCCCCGGCTACAATATAAAAGCCAAACAACCAAATCTGCAGAATATACCCCAGAGATCATCCCCTCCGCCTCCACATCCACGTACACTCAGACACTTTACCCTTCCTTATGAATCATTACAATTCAATTCAACCGCAAAAGTGGCCTGGGAGCAATTAATCTGGGAGCGGGGGGGGGGGCGGCGTCGGAGCGGAGACGAGAGCGACTGGGTCGACGACGTCCCTTCCACCAGCTCACCCGCATCAGCCCCGAGCAGCCGAGCTTCCTGGCACCACTGACACGCCACTTCATCAACGATAATGAGCAGTGCACAAATCTTACTTTACAAGCCTGCTGTCAGGAGCCAACCACAGTGCCCAGATTAATTAGGCAGATCCAGAAATAAAAGAAGAAAAAAAGAAAGAAATCTAGCGGTGCAGGATGAGGTCATGTCACTGTCGCTGGCCTGCTGTGATGGATTCCAGAGCCAGTCTACCGGCATCACATCATGCTGGGAACGACTCTGAGCTGGTGGCGTGTTTAGTATAAAGCTCTTGTTTTACATTTGTTGGCCGGCCCCGAGCATCCTGCCTCTCCTGTCCTCACTGTGTTGCTATGGGGACATGCGGTCACTTCTCACGGTGCCGCCCCCAGAGATTGGCAGGTAACAAAAAGGTGTGCAGCGATGGGCCCGAGTCAATGCCTCGCGCTCTTTAGACTATCGGTTTTTATTAATAAAACATTCTTCCCACAACAATGTCTCCGGCTTGACTCTGCAAATAGACACAGTTTGAGGAAGGAGACACGGTTCTAAAATCTTGCATTGCCAGTACAACCCTTAGAGGGAGGCCTCAGGGTGCAATTAGTGAATAGAAACAAAAAAATAAAACTGAGATGTGAATGTTAAGGAGGCAAAGACGAGGCCGACACCGGTCAGACATGAAGCCTTCGGCATGTTTACATAAAAGCTGGAGTCCATCATCGCTAGCAGGCACCTGGAATTTATAAAGTCTTGTTAATTGAAAGTGTTTCCAGTATGATGTCCGAGGAAAGTATGTCAAGCACAAATGGATTACCCCCTTTGAACTAATAAGGAGAGCTGTGCAGTGTGATGTGTTCGTTCAATTAAAATAAATGGACGAACAGAAACGAATAAAAAAAAATGGGAACAAGTGAGTCGGAGGTCATTCGAGTTGAAGAGCGGCGAGAAGCAGAGGCTCTCTTCGAAGCCGCGACTGGCGAGCCACTCACCTTTTCTGCCTCCAATCGTTTCAATTACAAATCGATTGTAGCTGGAGGGAATGGTGCTTGTTAAATCAGAGGGCCTTTGTAATATTATCCATTAGGGTTGACAGCATTTTCTGGTTATAATCAGATCGAATCATCCAAACTTGCGTTTCCTTATCTGGTCCTCATTAGGATATCTTTTTTTGGTCTCAACAGCCCACTTACAGCCAGTAAAGTCATCAGTCAGTCCTGATGGGGAAGAAACACAGCGTGATGCCCGCTTGAGGAACCCAGAGAGGGAACGGCGGGTGTACACGTGAATCTATAAATAAACCAACGGACATGTTGCTCGGTTCTCTTTGTCTCTCATTCCTTCTGTTCCCTTCTTGTCGGTCGGTCTGTCTGTCTGTCTGTCTGTCCGCCCCATGCCTTCCTTCACTGCAACACCCCCCCTCACTAGGGGCTCTCCTTCAGTCCATTCAAATCCTTCCCTAATTGACACTGTGAGAAGAGGCGAGGCTACCCCCGAGTGCACTTCACTGACTATACCAAGGCATGTTCATGTGAATGCTTCCCTGCACAGAAATACATGAATTTCACTGCTCGCTTGTTCTCCCTCAGCTTTGCGATTCTTGTGATTTCAAGTCTCCTCGGGAAGGCAACAAATGTAGTTGAAAAAAAATAAATAAAAAAAATGCACCAGAAGTAGTATGTAAACGAATATTGCATTGCACGCGATATTGTAAATAAAGTAAAAACATCTACAACCTCTCCAGAGGTGTCGCAAGGATAATCCTGTAAAACCTTTGGGTACCATGGAGGATGCTGCATGGTGGCAGCGCAGCACATTGTCCTGCACACATACTGCGAGAACCAGAGGAAGGCCAGGAGACCAGATTAACGGTGCATAGACCTCCCCCATCGTGCATAGACCTTCCCCATCGGGAAACACCAGAGACCGTAGTGCGAAAGTATGCACACGGCGCAGAGGCCAAAATATGAGTAAGTATAACTTTTAATGTGGGGCAACTATATAAAAATCTGGGCTAAATCTTAACCACGTCTTTAGGCCTACCATGTTTTTCATAATTATCAAACAACAGAAGTCCTTTGCTTGCTGTGAACATACAGACAACTCAAAACAGACACACCCGCAAATTCTACAAATGTTCTTTCTAAAGTAATATAGCTGCTTTCCTGAATCACAACAATATGTTGTTAATATTAATACACGCTTAGAGGAAGGAAGAAGGGAAGGAAATAAATGAGTTATGTACTAATCCCAAGTAGAGTAGAGATTGTATCCCCCAAAAAGGGTAGAAAGAAGTGCGTACGTGTACGGCAGTGTGTGACGGCGACCAGCAGTGCGGACAGCAACTCTCAGATAAAGAAACCCATAATAACCTTTATTCGTCTCTGGATGGATGGCGGAGTATGCATGCACTTCCACTGCGCTGCTCGGCTTTCATATCACACAGTTGTGGACTTTCATACCCGATGGCTGCATGGTTATAAACAACATTTTCCCATTGTGGGCCACTTAAGTACTTTCACAGTGGCAGTTTGGACTGAAGTGGCAAGCTAAAGGGTGCTTCAACCGGTTGTTGTGGAAGGACGGAGCACATTTGGCGTCCAGAATTTCCCATCCAGTGTGAAGCGGGGCCGGGGAACAACAACATATCACTCGCGTACCTTTGCTGGCAATGGTTAATCATCCTCTTTAAAATTTTAGCAGTGATTACCAAGTTTTTCCCTCGGCGACAACCTTTGCAATCATTTTATTTTTAAACAACATTTTGATGGGACACATTCCCAGCACAGATGCAGTACATCTGTCCCCGACACTAAACGGATAAAAAGACGTTTGTTCTATAGTCTTCACCTGGAGCAGTTGCTGTTTAATGGCGAGGCATTTTACGCTATCTGTGAGAGCAAAGATCTGCATCACGTGTTGTATGCATGACTGGTGTAGACTTTGAGAAAATATGGAAACATTTTAAAAACTGAAAACTCTGACAGCGGGGAAAAAACATTGATCTGCCCTAAAATGGCCTTAAATACTAGCAAGACATCCCTCTTGCAACTAGCCTTTCCTCGAGAATAACCAAGTGGTGGCACTGATTCTGCATATTGTGAATTATTCACACATCACTTCACTCATCTGCAAAACTAAAACTGAATCAACAAACAAGATGGTATATTCATTAAAAGAAAGGAAAGTGAAGCACAACACATTTGCAACTCTAGAATAAAGCTCTTTTTTCTCCATCTTCACATCCTATTTTGACTTTAACTAGACGAAGAAATTGCCAAAGTCACATATCAACTTTAAATTGAGCATATTTCTCTTTCAGGCCATCAAGACAAACCTCCCTCCAGTGTTTCATGATTTTCAGTGCAACATTAAGCACTGAGAAATACGTAATTGTTTCTCAATTTGTGTAGTAAATATAATGTATTGCCATTTAATTACATTTATTAATTGATATTTTCAAGCCAATTATTACATTTTATTTATTCACAGCTAATGCTTGAGTGAACATAATTCTGTGCAGCTGAAATGATCCTGTGGCCTTGTGAACCAGAGGAGGGTGAAACACATAATGCTACAAGTGTTTGTTGTTAGAAGAGTAAAATGAACAGATCTTTATAGAATTTAGAATTAGAACAGAAAAATAACCCTTGCTTTGACATCAGTTCAAGCCTCTACGAGGAGACATAGCAGACGGAATAATGCATCAAAGAGAAATGTAGAGGCGACTGCCAGCCTATTCAAATGCTTCACTTAAGACAAAACGCACAAAAAAAAAAACACACACAGAGATTTCAGCTTGGATCAGTGACCATGACCTTTTAGTTGCCATTATTAAAGTTTGTCTTTCTCTTGCTTTTATTTTCAATCACAATTATTTCTCCTCCATCATCTATTCATAACTCTGTTTGAAGGGATAGATAATGACCTTCCCATTCACACACTGGGTAGGATTAAGGGGATTGGGGGATGAACTAACAGTGCTTTATAAAAAGCACAAAGACCTTCCTCGATTTTTTAAAAGAAAAGAATTTGCCGCTCGGGGAGAATAAAAGGAAAGACAAACAAGAGTTGTGTCATCTTCTTTATAATAGCAAAATAGGTCAAGAAAATTAATTTGACCTATTTGAAAACGTGTCTCTCATTTAATGTGACATTGTGCTTGTCGAAGCATATGTATTGTCATCCTTTCGGAGTGCTTACAGTCAGCTTGGTGCTTTGCTTCATAGAAATGTGTTACTACTCCATGAAAATGCAATTTAATTTGTGCATGGCAGTCCAGTGTATCAGCAGTGTAAAAGAAGAGCTATTTTAGTGCAGTTTTGGTCTATCAATCAGTTGCAGAAGATTATAAGGCAGGTCTTTGAGTATCGAAAAGCACCATCCGCGACGAGCCAGACTTCAGAAGCTGTGGCTTTATCCGAGCTGGTTGCGATTTCAGAACTATACGGTCGGACCGAAAAGTGCATGTAAATTCCGTGTGCGTAACACACTGTGAAGATGGCAGCGTGGCACAACCAGTTAGTGCAGAATAAGCTTTTTTCGGGAGTGGTGGGGGATTGATAATAGTGGGTAGGTATAGGTATAAGAGTCTATATTCACCTTGACATTAAAGCAAGTAAAACTGTTCAAGTGGAAACCTAAAAAAAATGATGAACCTAAAACTGGGCATTATAAAAAGGCTCATATGCTTAGCAATAGACCACGCTGTAATATTGCACAGGAGAGTGCTCGGGCTGCTACATTGTCCCGTCACTTTCTTTGTCTTTTATCCCCTTTTGAGGTACTTTGTTTCCTCTCTACTGAATTGGTGGCTGAATAATTTCTGTTTGAGCAGAGGTCTACAGTATCTGTCCTGGTGGGGAGAAGAAAAAAAGAAAACTACAAAAGAGGAAGAACAAAAAGTACATAATCTCACCTGAATCCACTTGTCGGGTATGGCCATAGCCAGTCTGTAATCAAACCCAAGCCCTCCCTCCTCCACTCCTCTGCAGAGAGCGGGCATCCCAGATACATCCTGCAAACAAGTCACACCATTTTAGATCACATTTGTCCTTTGTGTGGACCGCTTTCTTTTCCTGTAGTCAGCAAAGGTCACATCCAATACCACTCCACAACTCACATATTGAAAAAGGCTGACAATAGTATTCCACAGGCCAAAAGAGAGACACCCCATCTTCTTTTGCATTATCTCTTAATTACACCAATGAATATGTAAGTAAGCCATGCCTGACTATTAAGTGCTTTTAATTAACAATAGCTGTGGGCAGTGTCATTGCAAAGTAAGTGGAAAGGTGTGTTGTTGAGGGTGTTTTTTACCTCTGCCACAGTGATGCAGTCAGGATAAAGGGTATGGAGGATGTGATTGGCAAGCATCAGGTAGACCAGAGAGTCCTCGTCCACCTGTAGGCCAAAGTACTCACTGTAGTCTCCCGAGAAGCCAGTGCCTGCGGAGTAAACGTCCACACCGTAAACGCTCCTAAAAACCCTGTTCCTCAGTAGGTTCAGGTACTTTCACCAGTACTCGGCATTATATCAGAAGTGTACTGCTCATTCACTTTAGTACAGAGAATCTGATAAGCACACGAGTGAGATTCTACTCAAGAGACGGAGTACTACAAACTACAAGTGGTAGAAGATATTTGTAATAAGACTTTAGACAAATCGCAGATTTGAAACAAAGCTGATCATGTTGTACGTTTACAAAAAACGTTAAAAGTAGTTTTTATTAGATAATAAAATAATTAGAATTATGCAAGCATGAATCTGTTAATTTAATTGGCTCCTTTAGTCATTTTTACAGTTTTATTCAATACCTTTACTCACTAAACATCTGGAGTAAGATATTTTTGCAGATAGTCCGTCGTAAGCCTTTTTAAAACAATAAACACGTATTGCATTTATATCCAAGTAATAATTGTTTTATGTTGTTACAAAAGTGAATAAAACAATGTTTGCCTTCTTTGTCCCTTCCACACAGTGATTAAGCCCTGGGTTGGGATCAGTATTGGCCAACACCCAAAGCCCAGGTGTCGGTTTCTGCATCGCGATTGATTGACAAGTTTGCGCTGCATGATGCAAAAGGGGTAACACACACACACACACACACACACACACACACACACACACACACACACACACACACACACACACACACACACACACACACACACACACACACACACACACACACACACACACACCTGAAATATGAGCCTTACCGATGCCATGGTGATGGTACAGCATAGACGTAATGCCATCAAATCGGAACCCGTCAAAGCAGTACTCCTCCATCCACCAGCGCAGGTTTGACAGTAGGAACCGCTGCACCTCCCAGCTAGCAAAACACACACAATCATTCATGCAAGGTCAGATAAACAAAGAAGCCGTGAATTATTCACACATTTCATCATGCGCTTTAGACACCAGAGATTAATTTTCACCGCTACAGGACATTCACATATTGATACCCAAAGCCCCATTTTGTGAGAGATGGAGTGTCCGTGACAGAGGATGGTGTTTTCATTAACTGCACTGTAGAGGAGAACCTGCCTTTCAGGTATCCTGGTGTCAGAATGAGAAATCAGGGGCTTCCAGTCCGCGTCAAAGTTGTCCGCTTTCCGTCAGCAAGCGTTTAGTACAGCCGGGAACGGGAGTTTCACGTTAAACTTGGGCACACAAACACCATGACGGGGAATTTATATTACTCATATACGTCTACTTGTTTGGCTTCCACAAGTTTCTCTGTTCCACTAAAAAAGAAAATACAAAAAGAAATAGAAAAGCAGAATTTTCTTTTTGGGGGGGGGGGGGGGCACATCTGGATCTGAGCAGCCACTTCAGGCAAAGTACACAGCGCACCTCACCTCTTCCTGCACCGTGGCACGTTGCCATGGAACCGTTAAAACTCGGGATTTAGTGGTCTCTGTGCCGCGTGCATAATGAGTGCAGAATGAAACATTGTACGCAGGGACGCCGTGATCTAAAGGCAGCAGTGAAGCTCAGTGGATGTGAGGCAAATGACACATTCATGAGAATGATGAAACGTGAACTGCCGCCTGTGTTCGGGCGGATATTCTCAGATTCTCTCTGTACGGTCTGAAGACACATGTACAGGGTACATGAATTTACACATTCCTAGGGAGCCGATAGATCTTTTGTTTTTGGAAAAAGCTGGTGTCTAGGCTACGGTACGTCTACGTGGTCATCGGCCGGCAGTGCGGCAGGCCCTTCCCCTCCCTCACATAGCGAAATATTCTACAGTGGATTAAATAGTAAAAATACCCTCCTTCCCCATTTATTGGAACCCCTGATTGAGAACGACTGTAGTACAGCAGGTGTGATTATAAACTGCATCCTTCCTGATTTCGACAAATTCAAACCCAACAATTTACAAAACTTACTTGGAATAGATTTATAAGATACACCAACATGAGAAACATCAAGATTTACCATCTCAAATGGAGTGGACCAAAGTTGTATGGTAAGGCTTAAGTTCTGAATGACATAATAAAATAATTTAAATATGGATTTGAATGAGGTTTTCAGTAGTCTGATCTCATTCAGACCGTAATTTAGAAAAGTTCGGCATTAAATTTAATGAGTTTTTTTGTTTGTTAGTTGTGAGTTCACACTAAAGTGGGTAGTCTTGTTTCACTGCTGAAACATCTCATGTCCAAAAGTTGTTTGAGGGATCCCAGACAAGTCTATCCAAACACTAAACATTTGTGTACAACAATATAAACGATTCATCGCTGGAGGGCTCAAACAATAAAATCCTGAGGATTCTATGGTGAAAGAAAAAAAAAGAAAAAAAAAAAAAAAGATATTTTTGTCCAGGTAGGCCATGACTCAAAAATACATTTAAGAACATTTCCTTCTGTGCTCCATTCCTCTGGGACGAACAACCTCAGTGTTTGACAGGTGTGAAGCTGCATGTTACATCGGCGCTTCCTGCCCTCCCCCCTTGAGGAAGAGCACAAGGGAGGTATGATCTGATACAGCAGCCTGGCTGGGTGGTCACGCAGACCCTGTGATAAATAGATTAGGTCCTCCACTCCACTGCGCAGAGCCAACAAAAGGCTCAGACACAATGTATCCTCGCGGGAGGGAGATAATAGCCAGTGAGAGCCAGCGGCCCCGAGATGAAACCATACTGCCACATTAGGACCCACAATGCCATTCATCATCAAGTCCAATTACAGCGGGCAAGTTAGCTCTCTGCCCGCGATGCAATGCACCGCGTGCATAAAGGTGTCCCTCGGCCTGCTGTGGTAATACAAAAGCAAATTCCATATTATACCGTCCTCATAATAAAGCTCAGCAATGACAGCAAAAGCAGGTTACACAGCTACAAAGTCTAATCAAAATTAAGACTTCATTTTCAGACTACTTTCCTCCTCCAGCCAAACGTGATTCTGACCCATATTATGGTGTTCGGGATCTGTTGCAAGCAGAGCCTATAGGGAGCCTATAGGGAGTCAACTGAATAAGGGGTCAAGGTAACTCGTCGTGATGGGAGAAAGAAAGATTAAGTCCCTTTTCTTACAACATCACAGGTAAGCCGCAGATAAGACCAAATAAATTTAAGAAGCTGACAGGTCATTCCACACAAAATGTGATGCTGAAACAACGACGCTCGACAGCCTGATGGATGGTGTGCATTTGTTGGACCAAAAAGGACAAATAAGGTGCCTCATTTAACGCATTTCAAACTTTTCTCCAATCCCGAAGCTATTAAAGTGTCCAGGACAGAGAATGTGACAGGAGAGACACCTGCAATAAATTCCCATTTCTAGGGCGAGGCTTGATTTATTTATTTATTCAATCATGAAATTATTCATCCAGCTTGTAGGTACATTAAATACATATATGCACTGCAGATTCTTGACAGATATGACTTGCTGATGTTGTATAATGCATTTTCCATTATGTTTGTGACTAAAGAGAGGTATATTAATCATGTTTATTTTAAATAAGCCACCGTTCAGCAAAACACGGTTCCGTCAGCCAATAAGCTATTTGTGTGTCTTTGCAAATTGCAAATGTTCACGATTTACTGGACATGTGTAAAAAAATAAAAATACATCTTGATATTTGGCGCTGCATTGTTGAACAGCCTTCCAAGCAGTCTGGGGGAGGCTGGCAGCATCGCCGTCTAAGCTCTCATCTAGCAGCCTGACAGATTGTCCCTGTATTGCTGTGCTTTGTGTCAGATATCTGCCATTTATCTGGCTTTCGTTGGGTTGCCTGGCAGCTAGGGGCTATTGCCTGGCATCCTGGGAGAGATACTCTCCTGCCCGCGAGACTGTTTGTATGTTTAGCGCCCTATAATTAGGATCTGTGTACTTGTGCGGCAGGCCAACCCTGCGCCATTGGAGTTCTCTCCAGTGGACCATGTTTTAGAAGTGGCACACTTGGCATTGGTTACCTAGAAACAAAAAAAAAAAAAAGGTAGGCCAGAGCTTGGCAATGAGTATAGAGGGAGATTGCCTGAGGGGAATAGAAGTCCCTGGGGTCGGTAAGGTAGGAAACCGGAGTAGAGCAACAGAAGACACCATTTCCTAAAAGGGCTTCACACAAAGAATGTGACAACGGCCCCTTTTTGATGCACCCAGGCAGCAACCTGTAATTCTGCAACGGTACATAAAAGCCTGCATGGGGCAACTCCTGTAGTTGCAAGAAAACTGAGTCTATTAGACAATAATACCACTTCTCACTTGCTTTACTACCTTAGTAAATATTGCAAATGACCGGTTTCTTTATACAGCATAAAATGAGATCAATGGTGTCATTTAGAGTCAAATAGACAATTAAGCAGGGTAGTCTGGGTGTTCATATTTCCATATGAAATCTGTAACCCTTTCCTAATGCGCTTTCAGTTTATGTGTTTGGAGGCCTAGAAATGTCATAATCAGCATTAGCTTTAAAGGTCCTTTTAGATTCACCCTTTCTTCTGGTGACGAAAACACCAATAAAAAAGAAGAAACAGTCATTACGGTGACCATGGCCACCTGTCGTATACCGTGTGGCTGAGATCCTCTCAAATTGCCTCCAATCCCTACATGCACTCACAAAATACTACAAAGCAGCGACTCGAGGGGAAATACATTTCTGTCAACACATTAAATGTTTTGTTTTGTCTTCAGTGTACAATGTATAAAATAGGTGTTTAAGATGAAAAGCAGTCCTTCCATTTAGAAGAAACACAAAAAAGACTGCCAACAGAGAGCTCTTTGCACACATTAGTTCCATGGCACTTTTCCGCAATTTGTCAGATTGATTTTAAAGGGGCTGAGGGGAATGACGGTGCAGAGCTGCTAAGTTCTTTCCAACTGGCTCCATCCAGCATCTACTGGAAGCACTACAGGCAACTCCGACCAGGCGCAATGCACACCTACAGCCGCGCTCAGCTCATTAGCTTGTGCTCACCGGAAGGGAAAAACAGCTTTTCCCCCCTTGCTGTGTGACTTGATGGGGCAGGAGAAATAAGTCATGGGTACTAAATACTGAAATGACTGAATTTGAGTGTGAGTTTATTGATTGATCAGGCAGTAGCAATGCACCAAATAGTGAAAAGTTTGCCCCAATACATAAACGCCATATACTCCAAAAGGGAGGTCCATTTTCTCCCTTCCTTTGTTTGTTTGTTTCAGCACAGGTTCTCTAAAATAAAAAACGGTCACTTACAAGCCTGATGATTCTTTGCTTCCCTAGATGTCCGTTAGTGTGTGATACCTTTAATTAAGAATTTCATGATTTTTAGAACTGTTAAGGCGGTATACACTGTTGGCTCACACTGCAGTAAAGATGTAGACAGATTTCCCTGGTCAAATACCAATGCCTACCAAGAAGTATGTCACACGTTTCTTTTCTTATTTGAGCTCTCATGCTGTAAAAACGTTGTCTAAAAAGTGCTAATCTGTTTAGCAAATTTCTTTAAGCCTTCTTTGGTCCTCATTAATGTAGGATCACCAGCGGCACACATGACCAGTAATATTCAACATTCATACCCATTGCACACATCTTTAACAATTATTTGATCTTAATGACAAAGACACGCATAAAATAATCTTGTCAAAAGGAGAATTTTTGCCCCCATGGTCCTCCAACACCGTCCTGGTCTCAGCATGAGAACACGCAGAAGAGTTAAAAAAAAAAAATAAAAAAAATTAAAACGAGTTTTCAAAAGCCTGGCCCTGGGCCTTATTTTTCCTATCTTAAGAATTCACACAAAGATTGATGAAAAATGGATGCAAATGATCCTGAGAAAGGTGTGTGGGGGGGGGATTACGGAACAAGCCCACATCAAGCTTCTTAGAACGCTCACATCTGAGCGCCCTGATCTGCAGAAAGGCTTCTCTGGCTGCCAGCCGCCTACACGCCGAACCACGGGCTCGATCCCCGTCTCAGGGTGACTTTGACTTATTTAAAAACAAGGTTTGAGAAAGAAACGGCCTTATAACAAATGATTCAGGTTAGTTTTTCTGCTCGTCACATGAAGAGCAGTTGAGAGCTCGGAGAATAACTGGTACGTTCAATAAAACTCATCCCTGTAAGTTTAAAAAAAAAAAATCTTTATCAGACAGACAGTCTGTTGATGGAAAGCTAAATATATTTTGAAGTTTCAAGGGCATTTGGAACATTTCGGTTCAAAGCACAGGTTTGAGCAGAGGATTTATTACCTTTCCTACCATTACACTCAAGCTATTTATCTAATTCAACCATTTAGTAAGTGGAAAAATAAGTTACTTTTAATACAGAGACGACAGGAACATCCCAATATTTACCAGCTCTAACATCAGCGGCAAGAGCAGGCATCTGAATCGAATCCAGATGTATTTGCCTCAAGTTAACAGCTAGATAGCATTCATATACATTAATAAGATTCACTCCGGAGTGAGCTCCATTTGTCTATGAGGGAGAGTTAAAGAGAAACACATACAAACTAGAAAAACGGTGCTCTTTGATAAAGATGCAGAGCTGAAGCTGCAGCAAGGAGGAAAATATATCTGTGCTCCAATAGTCAGCATCAGTCAGCTCCCGTCAACCTAATAAGAACATCATGGTCAGAGTGTGATGGCAGATAGCAGGCCTGCTTGATTAAAAACAGCCCGTGTTTCACACCGCGATCGCTGCTGGGCCTCCGAGGTTGATTTCCTTCCTACAGGGAGCAGCAGAACAGCTTGACACGTCCAAACAACCTGTGAGAGACATCGAAGACAAATGAACTGGCTCCGACGTGGCGGAGCTCCTTTGGGCTTTTACAAACGACTCCTCGCATGCCTCCCGGTCGTGGCGTATGTCTGCACCGTTTCTAATGAGTGCCGCGGATACGGGGAGGGTTCAATAAGTGATGATGGAAGAACCCTGTTCCCTTATTATAGGCCGCATGCCTGACACTAAACATGGTGTAATGTATTGGAAACTGCAGCGCACTCTTATTAAAAGCAAAAGACTGAACAGCGCGGGTTCCTCTTTAATGCGCTCTAGGATCATTTTCTGGGAACAGAGGGAAGAGGAGAGAGACTTAATTAAACAGGGGCCTGTACAACAACACCAATCAATACAGGACACTAAATAGTTTTAGTGTACTGAGCCCCAGCACAGCCTGCCGCATTTTGTAAAAAATATGGTGAAAATATGAACATTACTAAAACCTGCCAATGCCGTAACATCCAAAGCATTACTCACAACGATTAACATCCGACACCTGTGTGGCCAAATGTGTAAAATCAAGAGCATTTGGGGAAACTTGCATTCAGCACTAATGGTCCTTATAGGAACAGTGAGCCTGACTGCATGGCCATTTCCGTGAGAGATGCAATCTGTCATTTTGAGAATCATGTCTTGCTTTTGACCTTTAGCACACCGTGCTGTATCCGATAGTCTGAGAAAATACCAAGAGCGGAAGGCCAGCTCCCATTCGGCCTCATACATTAACCACTTAACACATTGCTTATGCATTTCCTTTCAAATCCATAACCTTCTAAAATCCTAGTGCTCATTAATGAGACTCTTTCACAAAAAAGGTAAACATGAATGACTTTAACATTGTGTTTTGAACATATGAACCAACACACATCCGGAAATATGTTATTATCTCACAACATATTTTGATGCCAAAAAACTTAATGCAGGGGAAAAAAAAACAAACCCGTTGTTTGTGTCGTTTATACCCACCACAACACAGCCTGCTCACCCTGCTGCTGTCTGGCAAGTGGCACAGAAGGAAGCACTGGCTGCAGTCCTAGCAGAATACAGAGCAGCCTCTTTGCTCAGACTTGAGACTCCATAAATGTTCCGTTTCTCTTGCGTAGCATCAACAAATACATCACGTCGCGCAACCACGTTGTCCAACAAGATAAGCTTGAGAAATTGAGGTACCACAGGTGGAAGCGTGAAGAAACCCTTCCATGTTGATTAACGGATGTCTACGCGTGGTACATTACAGAGTAATGCATTTTATAAGAACACAGAAAGGTGGAACGAGACGAGGAGTACCTGGAGTAGTTGAAGAGACGGCTGCCCCACAGCTTGTGCTCCCCTCTGGGTGGCGAGTGGAAGAAGCACGAGTCGGAGCCATCGAAGCAGTTCAGGCCGTCCTCCGTGTTCTTGGAGGCGTGGCTGTGAACTACGTCCAGCAGCACCACTATGCCCATCGAGTGAGCCGCGTCGATCATCCGCTTCAGTTCTTCTGGGGTCCCGTACCGACTAAACAAACACACACATGTGCGTAGTGTGTTAGTCCCGAACCTCGCTCATTTTATAGGGCTCAAACCCCAAATCTCAATGATAACCCCAAATCAACCACTCTTTCTAATTATAACTTTTTGTAAGTCGCTTTGGACAAAAGCATCAGCTAAATGTAAAATAGACCTTAACTTTTTTCCCCTTATCCTCACAGGACCACAAGTTTACAATGTAAGAAGAAGTGCGAGGACACGCAGAACTATTTTCATAGGCAGGAGTTTCCAACTTAAATAACCACCAGACTGTTGAGCAGGACATTGTTTCACGAACATAATGTCCTTCTCAGAACGTTTGACGAAAGATCATCCACTCCAACCACAGCAAAGGATTGATGGCTTTTGTAAAATATTCTAAAACACCTTCACTATCATTCAAAGGGTCATAAAGAAAAAACAATGGAAAAATCCAGAGTACGTTTTTACACACACACACACGCGCACACACACACACACGCGCACGCTGCCCTTCTAGTGAGCATTATATCCGCTTCCTTTTCAAAACGGGACACGTAGCGACAGTATTACCGTGCTTCCTGGTATTCGACCGCTCGGGTTTTAAATGACACTGAGAGATCAATCTGGGGTGAAATTACACTGTACACATTACAATTTGGAGTTATGCTCTACTTTACGCAAGAGAAGACAGATCTAAGGGGAAATTACAAGTACTCCCGACTAGTGAACCTTTATCCGAGACTCCTTTGCCCTCTGGATTAACAACAAATGTATTTACACAGAGATTATTGTTGGGGTAAGACTTTCCAACCATGAATCAAGGGGACTGTTTCAATGTAGAAAGTTGCTTTGGGAGTTTTGCTCTCATGCAGTTGTGAAGTTACTCACCGAACCCTCCCAATAAAACACACATTTATCGGCAACTATTTGGTCTTTTTTAGTCATTTGCCATTTAATGCAAACAATATTGTATGAATGACTAATGATAAAAAGGGAAAATGTTAACAAATACAATAAAATGTTAGTGCTTTTAGAATGAAAACGATAGCTTTTACAAATATTAAATAGTAAATGCAGAGATTTTTTTTTTTTACAGGAGAGCCATTCAGTGTATAAACACATGTTGTATAGGACTGTGAAATTGACCGGCATTTACCTGGAAGCAGCAAAGAAACTGGTAACCTGATATCCAAAGCTGGCATAGTAAGCGTGCTCCATGATTGCCATCAGCTGAATGCAGTTGTAACCTGCACACACAACGAGAAGAGACATTTGAAAAAACATTCTTTGACTTTCCTAACAGAGTATGGAACCAACGTTCAACTTATGAAAACAATTCAGGTACGGCAGCATGACACAATGCGGTGTCACATGCCGCCGCTTCTTTGTCACACAGTGCATTACATTAGGCAGCCTCATGCCATCTCCTACTTTTCTTACATGCATGGGTTTGGTTGTAAATAAAATCAGAGGAAATATCTGAACTGAAACGGAAAGCCTCTACTCTTCTGATGCATTAATGTTGTACAGTAATCATCTGGAAACTTCAGGACTCAATACTATTTAACCCGCGTCAATCGTACCGTGTGTGCTGCAGGCATTTCCTTTCTAATAAAAGCTCTGGGATCCTGAAGGCAAGCTGTGGCTACAGGGAAACACCAGCCATCAGAGTCAGGAGGTCATGTACGACATTTCAAAAACGACCTACAAAAACTGCTTCTATGAATAAGAGAACAACAGGCTTTTGAACTGCCACTGAGCACTCCGGAGGGAAGCCCTGTGGTTTTCCACTGTTGTTTGGAGCACATTTATTTATTTATATTGCAGCTTCTTTTCAGGCTAGAGAGAGAGAGAGAAAAAAAAGGGGAATGTTGGCTTCTGAAGGGGTGTGACAAAGCACTGGGGTGAGAGGACGTTTCTCTTTTTTTATATTGATATATATACACACACACACTCGCAGTCAAGAAAATGGAATGGCAAGCAAAGGCAACCGTCACTAGAGACGGTGGAGTTTAGCCTCCTGAAGAATCCCATTGTGCAGATTCCCTGAGCGGCTGCAAGTAGATAGTTTGACAGCATTTACTCTGACATCCAAGGGAAAGTATTTATCAGATTGCTCCTGGTTTTCTATGCCAGTCATATCTGTGCCTTGTAATGTCAGGGCAGCAGGCTGTATTTAAAAGCAAACGGATGCCACTGCTCATATGGGCTGAACTGTAGAGCTTAGCAGGGATCTGTTTCTGCTTAAAGTCTCTCTGAAGCCGAGCTCTTTATTGCAAGTTGAGTTATTATGAAAATGCATCACAAATTGAATATTACAAAGTCACATGTGTAATGAGAAACAAATCACACTTAATAGTATTGGATATTTTTAATTGAATAAATGAAGTGTTTTTAATTTGTTTTGTTGCCCAAAGAATTTCTTAAGCGGTGTGATTTCACTTACTGATTATAACTCATTTTTATAATTGGTGGAAAAATTGAAATCCTGTCAAAGTGTTAAGGTAATTTTAAGGTATTTTACCACAACTATACTAATTACATAAAATGTTATAGTGTCGAAGAGATGAAGGGACATTTAGTGCCACCAATAGTCATCTAATGAATAGCTGGTTTTGTAGCAAAGGGAATTAAAGTAGCCTCCAGGTAAAAGAAAAGAAAAGACAGTTTCTATACTGAACACAAGTAAAGCTTTGCTGAAATGCCCTTATTGACTCACTGAATATCTGACCAAGTTGACTCTATAAATAAATTGTCCTATTTAGTGCAACAGAGCTAACTGCAACAGCCACTGACATTTAACCAGAGTTTCAAACAATCGATAAACCCACAGTTGAGTCCGGACGGCTAAAACCTCTGAGGGTTTTACTGAATTAATCTGCACATACAGATCAGAAGGCAGTCGGCACTGAATAAAAGATTACCGTTTAATTGTTTTGATCTCAACTTAATTGTGAGGGTTTATAATATATAAAAGAGGTAGTCTTTAAAAGGGCTTTTGAACACGCAACGTGCAAATATATTTTTGGATTATCCGCGAGATTCGAGCTGAAGAACGAAGTGGGTGTGGCGTCAGACTGGTGTTGTGGAGCCCTCTTTAGGGCACGCCAGTAAACGGGACGTTGACTCGCCGATGTGGCCTTGAGCACAGGGAGAGTGACAGGTTTGCCCCTGCAAACACGGCTACTGGAGGAGCGGTTATAGACCAGCGTGTTGACACAGACTGCAGAGGACCCTGGCAGTTATAAAAAGGAATGGATTTCAATGAACCACTCGACTGGTATTCTCCCAACCACATCGCCGGCTCTGATTGCATCGCCTCATTGCTTCACATCCGCTCCTGGCTAGAAAAGATACAAAACGGTCTCAAGGCGAGTCAACAAAAGCCCTCACAGGTCGAGGGGATAAAAGCAGGATGATTGCTGTGCATTCGCATCAGACTTAAAGAGTAGCCAATGAAATAAGTGGGACGCCGGAAGGGGAAGAAAATAATATCAAGTAGCCGCGTTTCTTACCCAGGTCTTTTATACGAGGCAGCACGTTGGTGGTGAAGTTGGTGTATGAGGCGACCTTCCCCTCCGGTGAGGCGATGCCCACGTGGGCCTCGTATATTCTCAGGCTCGTGGGCTTCTTGGGCCGCGGGTGGATTTGCTGGAGAACAAACCAACATAAGAAATCACGAGAGCACTTTTTCCTTAAAAATTGCTTTCAAAACATAAATACATTATATTTTGTGGGTGATTATGAGCCATGAGGTCAGTTTGGGATTTCTGTGTCTTTGCATGTTTCTACAGGGGATGAAAATGGTTCCCCACATGTAGAACACAAATAGATCTATGATTCACACCGAGTGTGATAATGAGAACAGGATTTGTCTCACACTAGAACACATGTCCTGATTGCCACCAATCAGGCCGAACAAACCCACTGTTTGAAGCACATGATTGAGCCACTTGTAAATAAAGCAAATATACTGCCGGTCGGAGGGCTCCTCTAATTAAAACGGTGCTAAATAACAGCCGATCAAAAAGCAAGGTGGTCTTTAATAGCCTCTTATTGTTTTGCTTGGGCACACTCCTGCTGAGAGCGTTAAGTATTGAGACACATTCAGACCCTCTTACCATCAAGCACCCGTGTTAACAATCGCCACAACAGCTGTGGGAATGACAAGCAAGACTGCTTTCAGATGTAACTGCATCATCCACGCTGCATGCAGACACTGGACTAACTCAGTCATTATAGTGACAACAGATGAATTTAGCTTGATAAAGCATTTTCTTTTTTTAATCTGTTTAATCTATTTTAGCCATCAAACCATGACAATGAGGCTTTTGAGAATTATGCATCAAATGTTTTTACACCAGAAAAAAAGGATCAGCTCAGTTTATGTCGCATTCTGTGGCATTCAAATCCAACCGCTTGTTTCATTCTGCTGTTGCAAAAAGACACCGATAATTGTTGTTTACATCACAACTTTAATGTCCTCGTTCAATATTGGCAGTTTATAAAACGCTTCCGGAAAAAATTGGGAAAAATAAACCAGTCTCTCTGAATGATTTTACTGCACTGTTCTTTTTCCAAACCCTATTTCACCTGGATTTGATTATTTTTGATTGCTACTTTTCTATAATTAAAGAATAAATTGATGAAGAAAGATTTTTTCCCCCCTTCAGTTCAAATTAAAACAGCAACTTACAGTATAGGGCTGAGGGGGATCCCAGTGAACCCAGTCATAGACGATGGACTTCTCCTCCCTGTTCACATATTTTGCCCAGGGAGAGATTCGGTACAGCCGGCCACCCTCCTTGGTGTGAACTACCACCTAGAAAAAAAAGAAAAAAAAAAAAAGACTAATGAGTGTTAGGTTACTGCAAGGTCATCCAAACAATGCGCACACACTCTTTCTACAAAAGTAGAAAAAGGTGATTTAAAGAGAAAACATCATTGTTTTCTATCAAAGTAGCCAAGTTCAAGTAGCCTTTGAGTCTTCTGTGACTCTCGTGTGAAGCTGTCCCTGGATGTATGAGACAATAAAGCAGCATTATTCAGCCATGACATGCTTACATCATACACCTGTGCCGTTATCCTTCACACATTATACAGAGAAGATGTTACAGATTCTTCAACCAATGAAAGACATTTTTCAAACATGTCAAAATGAAAAGCGCACTCTTTCCAGGAAACGGATGCGTGCTTTCCAAAAAAAACTAAAAAAATTCTCCCAGAGACAGAAAACATTGTTAAGAGAAGTTGTTGTGGTGAAATCGGGATTAAATGGTAATCATTTTTGGTACAAACAAGGCCACTCACTGGCTCATCTGGAGAGGGGATTGGAGCCAGGGAGCAATTTAGAAAAATAGGAAATATAAATCATTATCCTTCGCCTCTCATCTATTATGTTTGCAATTCGGGACTGGAAGGGGGTCGAATAAGTATAGTTCGGAAATCTAACTGAAAAGTTACTTTGCCTCCATCAGTGAAAAAGCGAAGGAGAAAGCCAGTGTGAGAGTTCGGAAAAACCCAACAAGAAATCGATCCTGTAGCGTTGCCCTATGCGTTTGCACAGTTTTGTCCCCTGCAGAAACCGGCATTAGAAGCCGACTAATTCTGGCCACTATTGTTGAAGTAATGACTGTTCCAATGCCCCCCAGCGGGTGGAGCCGTTGGCCAGACCCCCCTCTGGGTTTTTTTTATTATGGCCAGGCGACCTAGGGGTTCGCTGCCTGGCTCCCTTTAGAACGTGCTTCACAGTTTATAGGATTAGGAAAAGATAGCTGGAACCATGGACTGGCATAATGGCTGAGAGAGCGGTGGTCCGCCAGACAAATTGGGAATATTAAAGAAAACTGACTGCTAGGTGAGGGGATGCATGAACAGGAAAAACAACTAAGCGACATGGGAAAAACTAGAGAAGTTAGGTGGGGATTAAAAAGAATAAAAAGTGGGCGTCTGTTCCCCTCGATGAGACCTCGTCCTCTCAAGTCTTGCTTACTCTCAACATGAAGAGCTCATTGTAAGTACCGCAGCGACAAAAAGACACTGCTTGTTTATGGAGACAAATTGGGCCCTGAACAAAAGGGGAGCGGAGGGCAAGCGGCTCTGCGTGAGCGGGATTGGAGCCGGGCTCGTGCTTCCACGAGGGAGTGCTGTGGAACTAATTCTGAAGTGGAGCTCGCAGCAAGACGGCCATTCATAGGCGGCGGGGGGGGGGGGTGCGGGTGCGCGCGGAAAAAGGCCAGGTGCCAGCTTTTCCATCTGCTTCTTATCGTCCTTAGACTGACCTCCGCTGACAATGGGAGCCGGGCAGCCTGTCCAGGGCGCGGGACCGCGTGCCAGCGATGACCCGGGCCCAAGGAGAGCGGCGCCACGGTGCCGTCCGTTCCACGTCTGGCATCTCATTTCACGATTATTTCTCATCCACGCCATTTGCTTCAGAAGACAATGAATAATGCGCAATGCATTTTTTTGCCTTGAATCCTGATGAATCATTTACTAGGACTAAACCACCACGTAGGATTTCTTTTCTTTTTTTTTTTGGCACAGACAGAAAAAAAAAAAACGGATCTTGAGGGAGCTGAAAAACAAGCCGTCGGCCGGGCTCCTCGGGTGTATCCACCCTCCACTGTGCAGATTGTGTACATACAGTAACCTCCCGCGTGCTAGCGTGCTGAGAGCATGACATGTTGTTGAAGCGCCAGGTTTTCGCTTGGTCAATAAGACGCCACACATGCCGGGGAATCTCCCTCGCACATTACAGCAGACCCGTCTTCTGTACCGCGGCAGGGTGACACCTACTGAGGGAGCGAAAAGGCATGAAGGTGTTCCGTTCTCTACCTTAAGTCTGGTGTTATGGCCCACAGCGGGTGTCCCGTCATGCTTGGCGGGTAGAATCAGCTCCCACTTGCCAAACTCTTTCTTGGTGTAGGGGTAGGAGAATTTCTCCCAGTCATCTAGAAGGGAACACGGATTAAAATCACGGCAAATTAATTTGTTTACAAACACGGAGCCAGACGACATTCTGATTAACTGTGTAATGATCAAAAGAAGCCATATGATCGGAGATGCACAACTCGGTGTGACGCGATCACAATGTCTCTGCCTCATTATGCATTTTTCGGGCTCATCGTTGTCACACTGTCACACATTGCTCCCCTGTATCCTGTGACTTTTGTCACAGTGGGAAAAGCAGCGGGCTCAGTCATCTTAGAAAAAAAAGAAGAAAAAAAAAGTGCTGTTTATTGAATTATAAATCTGAGGGAACGTCAGAGGAGTTACATTTTTAACTTGCTGATTCCACATTACCAAACGCCATTGACTGACGGGAACACTTCGGGGCACGAGGCGGCCACCTTGGCGTCTCAATTTAGGGATGTTGTTTTTATTCAGTAATCCACACCCGTTTGCTATTCATGAGCAGAAACAGGCGCAGGATGGGAAATTAAATCACAGGGGATACTCCAGAAGTGACCGGGCACAACACTAGCACTTTTCTCTGGCACAGCAGACAAAGTCATATTTTTTTCACCATTTATTTATCTCCCTTTGCTTAAACCGCTTCAAAAAAATAGTGCATTATGCATCCAACCTGCACTATATTCATGACTGGGGCCGCTCGGCTGTTTCCCCGTTTAGTATGAAATTGAAATCAAATAATATGACTGACTCATGTCAAAATGTAATCTCTCGCAGAATTGAATGTTGGAATTGAGCTGCTGCCCAAGGTCCCGGGAAGATAATTAAAAAAGGAAACGGCAGAAAATATGGAAAGAGGGAAAGGCAGCAACAGAGCCTACTTACAAATAAAATGTGTAGGGACAATAAACAGTTTACACCGCATTCCATCTGAGGGCATTCGTGTTCACTTTTCTTCGCCATTACCTGCCGGGTGCATGTTCAGAATAGCTTTGGCACCAAAAGCGGTGCTTGTGCCGTGGCCTTGCATGGAAAATGATGCCAGAGTTATGTGGACAGGTCTGAATTATTTCACCATCCTTGTTGTAATTCACATGCACGTGACCTATTTTTGCCTCCAGAACTGCCTTAATTATTTGTGGCATACTTTCCACGAGCTGCTGGAAACAACCCTCAGTGATTTTGGTCCATATTGACATGATGGCATCGCGCAGTTGCGGCCGAATCTCCCGTTCCACTGCATCCCAAAGGTGCTCTATTGGATGGGGATCTGGTGACTGTGGAGGCCGTTTGAGTGCAGTGAACTCATCGTCATGATCAAGAAAGCAGATTGAGACAACACAAGCTTTGTGACATGGTGCATTATCCTGCTGGAAGTGTCAGGAGATGGGTACACTGTGGTCATAAAGGGTTGGACATGGTCACCAATAGTACTCAGGAAGGCTGCGGCATTTAAACGGTGCTCAGTTATTACTAAGGGGCCCAAAGTGTGCCAAGAAAATATCCCCCAAACCATTACACCACCACCAGCCGCCTGGACCGGCAAGATGGATCCATGCTTTCATGTCGTTTATTCCAAATTCTGACCCTACCATCTGAATGTCGCAGCTGAAATCAAAAATCACCGGACCAGGCACCGTTTTACCAATCTTCTATTGTCCAATTTTGGTGAGCTTGTGCGAATTGCAGTCTCAGTTTCCTGTTCTTAGCGGACTGGAGGGGACCCGGTGTGCTCTCCTTCTGCTGCTTTATCTTCCTCAAGGTTCCACGTGCGGTCAGAGATGCTGTTCTGCATTCCTTGGTTGTAACAAGTGGTTATTTGACTTACTGTCGAATTCCATCATCTCAAACCAGTCTGTCCATTCTCCTCTGACCTCTCACGTCAACAAGCCATTTTTTTGCACATAACTGCCGCTCCACTGGATATTTTCTCTTTTTCGGACCATTCTGTTAACCCCAGAGATCAGCAGTTTGTGGCGTACTCAGAGCAGCCCGTCTGGCACCAACAACCATGCAAGGTTCAAAGGCACTGAAATCCCCTTTCTGATGCTCGGTTTGAACTTGTACATGCCTAAATGCATTGAGTTGCAGCCGTGTGATTGGCTGATCAGCAATTTGTGTTAACAAGCAATTGAACGGGTGTACCTAATAAAGTGGCGGGTGAGTGTATACACACACACACACACATATGTATATATATATATATATATATATACACACATATTTATTTCCACTTGCATGCTATCATTTCTACTGGCATGTGTAAAAGAGACATTAATATATTCGATAGAGGGAAGCAAATGACACTGAGGGCTTGCATAACCTTGTACATCTGCTCGATAGATGAGAGGAAGTCACATTTCATCGTGTTAATGATGAAAAAAAAATAAATGATCTTGCCGAATTTGCACAGGCCACATTAAAAGAAAATAACACTCAAAAGACTATTAACCTGAAATTACTTTCAAAGTTGGCCCCGGGGAGGAGGGGCGGTGGGGGGGGTGGAGAGATTTCAGCACGCACACACACAGAGGTTGCACTCTCTCAACAACTTTACAAGCGCTGATGAAATAACCAGCTACTGAAATATTAACACACACTCCCACATTCAAGAGAACCCTCTTCAGTTTAAAAGTTTTCACTGTGTAATCAATATTTTCCACATTTTCTGCTCTCGAGTTGGTTGATCAAAAGGACTGCTGTCCTTGTGCCGCGGTTCTGAGCCTTCTTTATTTTGTGCCCCGTTGTGTTCAAGGGCGCGGAAATGTCCCATTTATTATTTAACGCAGCACAAATATATGCAACCTTGTTGTACTGTCACAACCCTGAAATCTCTTCGTCCTTTTCTCGTCCCAACAGTGACCACAACGTTATAATGAAGTGTTATTTTGAATTAATCCGAAAATCGACTGCCTTGTACAATTGGAATGACGCCCACGTGAAAACCATGGAGGTTAACGCGCCCAATTTCACGTCCATACCGGGTACAAAAGGGTTAGTGACACCTTAAAATGCATGAGCGGATAATGAACGAGTAACATTAAAATCCAAGTGCAAGCTTAAGGGAAACTAGATGGACATGCTGTTGTGAACTTACTGAAGTCACCGGTGAGGAAGAGGGCCTCTGCGGCAGGAGCCCACTCCAGGAAAAGCAGGCTGTTGTCGGGCTGCCGATGCACACCGAAGTTCTTGTAGCTGCTTGTGAACTGGTCAAAGCCTCCTTCTGTCTCTTCCAGCCGTACCAGCTGCTTCTGTAGCAGCTCATACCTTGAAAGCAAGGAAAAACACACACGAAACGCAGGTTCAGGTCAAGGGAATACCGACCAATGAAAACACAAGATACATTAAATGGTGTCCATCGTTGGGAATGTTGAATACATTTCACTCATTTGCTTTTTGACCCCTGAAGAACATTAACTGCATTCGGGTCTGGGTGGAGAGTGAATTAGCAGTAAAAACAGAGATTCTCGCTCGGTGTGACTGCTGAATGTCAGAATAAATTAAGTAAATCAAAAGAATTGATCAGGTATCAGCGACTCAAAAAAGGCAAAAACTGGGTTTTCCTTCACTGATCAATTTCTTTTTAGTGCTTTCATAACATCCCTTCTTAGTGGACTGGAGGAAAGACAACATGCAAAATACCACACTTTTACCACTTTGTCAATTTGCATCTATGGACTAAATTCACCAAACGTTAATGTCTCATTTTATATTTGAAAATAAAATTTCCTAAAAAGTTTTATGGTAAAATCTGTTAGATCGTAGGATTTGCAGTGAGGTTACAGACTGAAACTACCCATAGATGAGCCACAGTGTCTTGAGGAGAAAGAACTGTGAAAAGGACAACACGTCCATATCAATGCGTTTGGCTTTGTCCCTTTAGGGCTTCATGTTAAGGATCAGCGCCCATGTAAGTGACTCAAGATATTGAAAACACGAATATTCTTATTTTCAGGTTAATACATACTAAAGAAAACACTCAGTTACACATGTTTTTATGGAAACACATCCTTCCTAAATGCTACACAATGTTCCTTTAAAAAGATATTTAGTCAAAGTGGGCTTTTTTCTCTCATACTCTGAGCCACAAATCTTTTAAGCAGCACTTACAGACTTATATTCCCCTCTATATTCTGAAGGGTTTGGCACAGCGTTTTGTTCATCCATCATTCATAGCTTCCTTAAACCATGGACTACTAAAAAGAAATCATGACTGTTGACAGTATTTTTTGACTTACGATTATAGTTATCAGCAAAAATTTGAAAAACTAACAAATTATTGTTGTAATATACAATTGGATTGCCTTAAAGTAAGTCATCAACTGGGGGCGTTTGATGGCAGTTTCATTTATTTTATTTTTATTTTGTGTCTCACCTTTGGATTTTTTTTTAAGGCAATTAATAATGTGAAATATGTAGTGCGATAAATGACATGCGATTACATGTAATTTTCAAACAACTGCTTCATTACACAGGAAGACAAATCCTAATGTTACATTTACATCCAAATAACAGGTGAAGATATTTATTAGTAAAAACCCAGTCCGTGATTTAAATTTATCACGGGTTAACTAGAAGGAACAGATACTTATGAAAGCATTTTTTTTAAAAGCATCAGTAATTAATTACTTCCCTTATTTCTGTGTTAGTTGTTAAGCATAAGAACTAGTAAAGCATAATAACTCAAAACTCTTCTATCTTTGTATGAAAACAGGAATGGTAAACTGATGATTCAAGCTACAATGTCACTATAAACAAATTATTTAATCATCAAATTTAATTATTTTCCCATTTACCAAAAGCATGCTTGAAAATCTTTTATAGTTGAAAATATTGACAAATACGGCAGTAAATCAGTTGACGGTGCAGAATGTCAACGTTGCCACGCAAACACTCTCCCTTTAAGCTCTATATCTTGGGTTGCAAACCTGGCTCAGTCCCTCAACAATGACTGACTTTAGGCACACTTGGAGATATAAAACCTCTGTCCGTTACCTTCGACTGCGAAAGGAAAAACTAACTACTTTGCAATTTATCTCACTTAAGTTCCTGCAGCCAGCTGGTGTCCGTATCAAATCCCCCCCTACCCACCCCGACCCCAGAGTACAGAAAGCCTCTTTCAGCCAGCCGAGTTAAGTGCACTCGCTCCCCTATAGCCCTGAAGCCAAGCTCAGGCTGGCCTGTGAATGCCCTGGGGCTGGTGATGATGGGCTGAAGTCACAGCGCCATTTCTCAGCAGCTGCTCCCTCTGTTGAGCTCAGTGGATACAGACAGTACTTGCCAAATGTGAAACCTTTAATGCCCAACCAATGACGCCACATGCCTCCTTTGCCACTTTGTCAACATTTTGCAGAATATGCCGAAAAAGGGAAGGGCAAAGGGAACACTTCACAAAAGCGGCAAAGCTCCTCTGCCACGGCATTAATAGGCATGAAAGTCACACCTATCGTTATAACAAGTGAGTTCCAGACAGTTGGACATGGCAGGGGGACAGCGAGCCAATGTCCTATGGATGCCGTATTCGCCGCACATTTCCCGCCTCGGTTTCCACTTTATTGCAGCGGGGAGGCGAGATGAGACACACACGTCACGAATGAATTGTGCACCTATAAAAAAGGAACAATTCATTTTGGAAAAAGTCATTAACAGAGTTGGAGCTATGGCAAAAATCTAAACTTTGATCTATTTTCCTGTGATTGAAGATAAGACATAAGACCCTTGCTGTCCTCTGCGCCCTCGTCTACGAATGGTATTTTGATGACGTTGTACCTGCTCCCACATCTCTATAGCTTTTCTACAGTCTACACAACAACATCCAGCATGCTACCGCACAAGGTATCCATGGGCAATATTTGGCCATAAAACACTCTCCCATCAAGCTGCAAAGAGCCGAGTCTAAAAGTGTGACCGTTTCATCACATATGGCAGGCCTTTATTCCCCTGCCGCTGAATTCCTAATAAAGGAAAAGTCAATTTTAGAATTGTAGAACTGGTGCTGAATTTTTATACAGTGTCTTCCCTTATTCCTTTGCAGCCACCTCATTTCTTAGTGGGTCACGAGGTTCTAAAGCCATAAATACTTTGCTCCTGGCTCGTTTAAACCTGTGAAAGCTAAAACTATCTATGCATTTAAAAAAAAACATCTTTATGCATACAAAATGTAATAATACAGAAGCTATTTATCACAGGGTGTTGGTGATGTTCTTCAATCATATGTTGAGAATCTCGTTTGGCTCTAGCTTGATCCCAAAAAGGTGCAGGAGTTCTGTGGGAATATTCCATCTACAGAATTATTCAGTAACAATGAGGATTTATTTGGTGTCAGTCCCAGTTCTTTCGTTAAAAGAATACCGTTGGATATACTATTGCTCAAGTGAGGGTTTTTATATCTGGCACAGGCTTTAAGAGTCCCTAAAGAGTTGGGCTGTCAAAAAAACAAATGTGCAACTTGAATCTTAATGTGGTTCTTGACACGATGCTACTCTTCAGTCGCCCTCAAACGCATTTCCTAATTGCAATATAATGAATAAGTGTTTTACACATGAAATAAACGCTAAAACGGGATAGAGTGCATTCTGGTACATTTATAGTTGTCATTAATAATAATAATAATAATAATAGTAATAATAACAACAACAACAACAATAGTACACTGGTGTTGCTATTGTGAGCCGCCAACCACAAATTTCTATGGGGATTAACTCAAAATTATCTGCTTCCTACACACCCGGCAGACATTGAAAATCTAATCTAATATAATAATCATCCTTATGGCCACAAATGACAAAAAGTCTTTTTCTGCATCTTCTGCAGTGGTACAGAGCAACAGGGGCTTACTCTTGGTTTGGATAACTGTTCTTTATCTAAAAACATACTGGAAAAAATATCATATGGCACAACAGATATATTAAAATGCATATTTCCGACAGACATCAACATCCTTTGAAATCACTTCCGTGTTGGATTCACATGATTCTTTCAAGCAATTATTCAAAATAGATCACATTGTATCTTGAGGAAACGTTCAGTTAGTCCCAAAGTCACAAACTGAGACAAAGACTGAAGCGAGAGAAAGTGGGAGTTGTGTGGAGAAAGCCGTGCCACAGAGGAACAGTTAGGCCCAGCAGGCAAAAGAGAGCTCATAGGTTAGTGGGAGAGATATTCCGCTGCTGCAGAAGGTTCATGAAGATCTCAGTGAGGCTCAGAGGGTGCTCAACATGGAACACCAGCTGGGGCGCACTCTACTGAATAAGAGAAAGGAGGCTCAGACACAGCTGGCCAGACTTTGGTTCTGAAGCGTTGGTCTGGAGCAGCAGAAGATCTAACATCTGCAAAAACGAAAAAGGAAGAAGATTGCCTGCCATCCTGCGGGATTAGTCAGCGAAGCAGTTTCAATGCCTCACCCCAGTGGAAGACCTGTGAGGTTTTTTCCCTTGGATTCTCATAAAAACTTGGCCGGACATGAGAACCTTTGCTCAATGGTGGTATGTGAGACTGGCTTAGTGACTCTTATTAATCCTTCAACAGTCTTATCTTCACTTAAACACACACAGACACACACTTCACTCAAATCTCCTCAATTACAGTCAAACTTTACACTTTTTAAAAATCTCCCGATGGAGCAGCTGGACTTTGTAACCTGTTCGTTCCCTCACTGTTATCTAAATTTAGAAAGCGTTCGCGTCTGTTGGCTGAGGGTGACAGCTGAAAATAGAGGTGTCCGTTTCGTCCACAACAGCTTGGAGAAACACACATAGGAAAAAGGTTTGAACTCTCCTCCGGATCTCAGCTCGCCTACACAGCTTCCATGTGGCAAGGTGACTTTCAAATAATGCCATTAACGTCCTTCTTTGAACAAGTCCATTAATGAGGCTAAAGAGGGGCCTGAACGTAGATGTTGATTGATGGATGGCAGTGAAACTTCCCTGCTGACCTCATACCTTCACTGACCCTCAAGCAAGGTGACGGAAATATGAATACTGCCCTTTAAACGCAGGTATATTACAAATTCCCTCATTATAATACAACAGTTTCCGAAATGTGAAAATGTTAAATGTTTAATAATTAGATTTACCCATCAAGGACCTGTAAATCCCCCCCGCCCCTCCCCCTTCACCACAGACGTACTTCTACTTAATCCCTGTATTTTGGCACTTCGCTTTTCAGTCAGAGCACATGCATCTGTGTTCATCACTTCAAACTTAATTATCACATTTGCTTTGAATGTATTGCATCACCATCAGAAGCCGACGCAGACATATTGCTTTATTTTTTACTCGGAAATGAGTTGTGATGACATCAAGTCTCTGCGAAAAAACGCATCGCCGCAATAAGCAGCGTTCCCAAAGCAGCAGACTTTCATTTGGTCCAATTTAGGAGATGCGTGGTGCCACGAAGCTGCAAAATTTGGGCAAATCTTCCAGCAAAATTGCCCAACAGGAAGTGTAAATAATGAAGCATGTCAACAGAGCACTGCTCGCTGGGGCTGTAACCCAAGTCCAACATCAATGGTTGTTTTTGCACCGATTCTAAAAGTAGCATCCTGATGAAATGAAATCAAAACTGCCCACGAACCGTCGAACAACTCATTAGATGGGGGGGAGGGGGGGGATTTGCCTGGAATCAGTCTTAAAATAAGGCCAGTTTGTTTCTGGTGTGAGACTAAAGAACGACAAACCTGAGATGTGGCCGAGCCTTAAGCCGCGACATGGCGGTTCAATCTGAAGAATCAGCCGCGTGGTCACGGGTCTCTTCCTGATAAGCCGGCTGAATTCTTGGCACTGCGCAGCTCGGCGAGGGGACTCAGCGTGACGCCGAAGCCGGAGAAGGCTCTCGATTGCCACGCCTGCTCTGGGTGGTGGGATGTTTGGGCCGTGGGCCGTTAAGAGACCGGCGGGCTTATCAAGAATTAACCTTCGCACAGCAGTGCTCCTATATGTAAAATAATTTATGTGCGGGTTTCATCAGCGTGACAGGTGTTTGAGACACGTCTGAGGCTCTGTGAAGCAGAGCGATCCCAAGCTGTGTCTGAGATGGAACTGACGCGCTCGTCTCTCTGCAGGACCACGGCCCCACTCGCGTGCTTCAAATACAAAGCAGGTGGTCCCTTACCTGCCACTTTAGATCGGACACGGTAATGAAAATGGATTAAACTAATGTGGCCCCTAAGCTAAGTTTTTCAGGGCTAGATTGGGGGATGAACCAAAACCGTAGCAATGAGCGCTGAAGATCATTATCGCGGTCTGCTTTAAAAAAAAAAATCACACTCTTTTTAAATCAAGACATTCAGCAGGTAGGACTAATTTGACAGGTGTGGAATTGAGCTGAATAACTGCACTGTCGTCGTGTAAGCCTCTGCCATATGGCCTTCGGCCTAGAAATAGGCCTACAGGATCTTCTCAAAGATAAACAAATCATCATGAAAACAACATTGCGTTACTATGACCTGCAACAGTTTGTTGCCATTCGATCATTATTTAAAGTGCAACCTTTAATTCTGATCAACTCACAGCAATTAAAAAGAAGAACCACAAAAAATTAATGTAAAGAGACTGCCTATTGACTTAGACAGAGTCTATTTACTTTTGGAGATTAGATCAGGCACAAGGTCAAATGAGGGAGAAAAGAGTTTTCAGGTCTCTGGAGGGGAGATCATTTAAGAGCAAATGTATTAAAAATCGTTGTTAATGTTCACGTAAAGCAACTCCTCGCCCCATTTCCTGTAAATATTCACTGTATGATTTTGGTCCTAATCTTGGGTGACTAAATTGCAAAGTAAATTTAAGTTGAGTAAATTCAAATTGATCCAGTTGAACGGTATGGCTCGTCTTCCCTCAATGTATTCGTTAAAAAGGCAACTATGGCATCTAACAATCTCACAGTGATGCCACAAGAAACTGGGATAATTAGACAATAACATCAATTTATCATTTCAGGTACATTGCAGTCCAACAAATGGTTCGATCTAAAGTTCATGCACAGCACTCAAAGACACTGCATTATATAAACATCTGAACTTTCCTCTCTGGGGTGCACTTTACTGGTACAGACACGACTCTGTTAGGAAGATGCATCATGGAAGCAGTCGTAGTTTGATATCATCAACCAGCTTATTTTGCCAAGTGCACAAACAATATATATATGTGTGTGTGTGTGTGTCTCACAAAAAGCTGTGACTTCCAGCCTAATTCATTTGTATGCAGGCCGAATCGAGGCTGAAAGACATTAGTGCAACATAAAGTCAATTTATGTCTGAGGTTATTTGTGTTGCAGAGCCTCACTCTGCAAAAAAACAAAAACACAAGCTTATCAAAAAGGAATAAATAAATAAAAAATGTGGACAATCTGACATAATGACAGCAAAGGCTCCAGCAGCCGCAAAATGAAAAGCACCAGCTGACGACGCAACGTAGACGTCACCTGAGTGCGACACACGCGGCTACCTGCGGCGGTCACGCGCAGGATGTGCACACACGACTCGACCTCTTCTGCAACTCGTACGCACAATGCCGGCGGTTCATTCATGTGACACCCGCGGAACGTGCTGTTCGGCGGGGAGGAAGGCGAGCCGCGCGTGCGTGCGCGCGTGGGAGGGAAACGGCCTCCAATCAAACCGAATGTCAAACCTCGCACGCGGAGGGCTGACCGCCTGCTGTGTGGGAAACATCGCTTTGCATCTGTTGGTGGGTGCGCGTTTAATTTCAAAGACACCGTGAACCCGGGCTCCTGCTCGCGTCACCGTGGGGCTGATTTTGGGGGAGTAAAGCATTGCACACAAGCGCCCGTTTTAGCCGTGTTTTTTTGTTTTACCTCCTCTTGAAGTCCTTCTCGTACGGTTTGAGATAGGGATCCATTTGGAGAAGGAAGCTGAACTCAGGAATTGCAACACTATCCTCTCGGTCTGCCATGGTTTCTCCAGACGAAACCAATCGAGCACCGACCGCTCGCTGACAGTGTGGCGCCGGAGAGCCGCGCGCGCGGTGTGCGCCTCTTTATAGCATCCGGGCGCAACGGCGCATCACCCCGCTTTTGTGCCAAGCCCGTCCCATGATCACATGCGTTGCTGTCCAGCTGGGTTTAGACACGAGGGAGAGCCGAGCCGAGCCGAGCCGTACGGTGGCGTGACGCAGTGTAACTTTAAGATGACCGCAGAGGTAGAAACGTGGCGCGTCACAGGAAGATGACTCGGCGGCTCGGCAGGCTGCTGCTGGGCTTCCTGGTGATTTAGTTTAGATGTATACAGACAACCAATGATGGAGGGGCCACAGAATACATAACTTGAGTAAAAGTATAACATGACAGTGTGTAAATGGTCTTAACTAAAAGCACAAGCGAAAAGCAGTAGCATCAGGAAACATTTTAAGCACCAATGCTACGCATCATTGAGAATAGCTAATTTCAGAATGATGTACATTTATAAGATTTTATTTAACTTAGTGGTGCATTAACATTAACACTCATTTGATATGACCCGCTGATAAAATTGGAGCTTAGCTTAATATTACAGTTAGTATGGGTTGAATTTGCTCTGAGAATCACCTGGTGTTTAGCTTTTTTAACATGTATTTGTTGATTATATTTTAAAGCAAATAAACTAGTAACATAAGCTCTCAAATACATGTAGTTGAGTAAAAACATCTGTCCTTGACATTTGTGCTGACAGAGCTTAAGTAAATATAGTCCCACTCTTGTAGGACTATTGAACTATTGAACTCTTGTGTGTGCGAGAGAGAGCACTGGTCTCTGTGTCTGTAAATAATTATTCCCTTTTTTATCTGCATGTCTTTCTCAAATGAAATGCTGATTTTGTTGTCTGCGGTCTCAATATGTTCTGCCCTAAACAACTTCAGCAAAGTGGCAGAACTAACTTCATAGACTTGAGAACGATGAACTTGCTATAATTTGGATTAAATCCCCCTTGGAAAAAGGCTGATAAAAATGCATGCTGTTGGTAATAGAGGAAACAAGCGTATTACTGTCCATCCCTGAAGGTTATGCCAATAAATTTTGTCTCTGGAATTCATAGCTAAATAACAAATATTTTCAACGGTATGTGGAAAGACACAATAGGAAACCCGATGACAACAGTTGACACAAACATTCGATTTTATCTACAGGGTGTTAACTGGAGGAGCAAAAGGAAGCTCTTGAGGGATTTCAGGCTACCTGTGAGCAATACGGTAAAACAAGCAGCAGCTACACTTTATATTACTTAGTTAATCCGTCTGATTCAGTTAAACAGTTTTTTTCAGCTGTAACGAACGACAATGAGATGTTTTGCACTTCAAATTACGATTGCGATCTCTCTGTAAAGGCCGTGAGCTAAAACATTTCCCACAAATGTTTTTTTTTTTTTATACAGTTGATTTTGGTTGAATGAATCAATACGGAGCTAAATAACACTTTCCCGATGATGCACATCTGTATGCATTAAGTGGCTGCAGAGTCTAAACTATAGTCTGACTGCAGCAGTAAATAAAAAGCTCATCAACCTTACTGTAACCTACAAATCCCATGGAGTAGACAGAATAATAAAATGCAATGAATGTCACAATTACAAACGCTGCTGTGAAGGAGGAATGCATGAGGGCATTTGTCAACCACAAAATAAACGTTAGGCAATGTTATCTTGATGTGACCTTTCAAAGCCGGGCAAGTCAGCAAACAGAGCTCCATTCGGTCAACACAGAAATTCTTCAGCCCGTCTACAGGAACAGAACTAACTTGACTAAAGATATATAAGACTAAGACAAAATCACTATTCTATGTGTCCTAATGTGGTTTTCTGCAGGTCTGCTTGACGCTTTATGATTAGTGTGGTTGAGCCGACCATTGCATTATACATATGTTATATGTAGATGCTTTGTTACAGGCGTCAAAACTATTTGGTGCAGAGACAGACTCAAACTGAAAATAGGAGATTTCAATTTTTTTTTTTTTTCATGACAACTCCCAACCTATTCACCCAAATTTCACTGCGACAAAGTCTTCCCTTTTCTGTGTTTCCTTTTCCCAAGACACCATGTTTACAACCCAGAGTGGCAGTAATTTATTCATTCAGACAGAGTACAGATGATGTTGATGACGAAGCTTTGAGCATCCCCTCCCTGTGGTGCTGAACTGTATGTCCCTCCGCTGAATCCTATTTCAGTGGGAAAGACTATGACAGATGAAAAACACAATTGAAATGCTAGTTTCGACTGGCAATGTGACTTTAATTGAAGCTGACACATACAAGCTTCTCATTTTCCTAAATTGATGTGGGTATACAAGCATGCTACATTGATATCGTGTGTAATGAAAAAATACAATTAGTCTTCCAATACCGGTAATTATTCTCCAAAAGATATTGTTGCATCAAAGCGAGAGAGAATTACTTCCCAGAGTATTCAATCTCCACATTACACATCTAAAGCTAAACAATATAGCTGTTTGAAGATAGAATGGAAGTCAGTGAATACTAAAACTGTAGTTAAATGTTTTAATAGGAGGCATTGTTTTATAAGAATTTAAATTTTCAATTTAAAAGAATAAAAAAACAATCTGGTGCATGAATAGTAGTAACATCTCTTCAAAGCAAAGCTTTGAGCATAACCACTATGTCCTTACTGCATGCAATCGTATTAACGTGGAGCAGGACACAGAATGAGGATATATTTACTCTGCAGGAATCCTAGAGAAAAATAAAGGCTGAAGTTTAAAAAAAGGAAACCAGCCTCTCCATCAAGATGCCATGTTCATCATTCACAGACAATGTAAAGAAAAACTTATTTTCACGATATCTTTGCAAGGGAGAAGTTGACAGTTTGATGTGGAAATCATGTGCTAAACCATGTGCAATGCTTCCAAAGGCCATGCGAGGACGCATAATAGGTTAATGAGCAGAGAAAATAAAAAGGAGCTCAGAAATACTTGTGATACTGTATTGGTGACTTAACTAATTTTGTGGAGAATTTATTGGTCTTAGGGTTAAGGTTAGGGTCCAGACATTCTGTGCAACATTTTCCACATTGCGTTAATCATCATTTTTTTATATTCATTGTGTTGTGATTGCATAGATACAAATGGTTGATTGTATTGTCCACATGGGTAATTTATAGATACAATATTTGTAAAAAACAGAAGTCCCTCGTGCCCATAACTATGATAAGAAAAAAATCACAGCCAAACCGTTGTTGGATATTAGAATTCTTATCAGATCTGTGAGGAGCCAAGCCCAAAGAACATGTCCATCAAATGAAATTTGAAATATACTGTAAGCTGCAGTCATAATCTAAGAGTTCTAAGGAAATTTGACGAAAGCTTATGACATCACGAAAAACTGAAAGATAAACAAACGCATTATATTTCCAGATGTCACAGCCGAGGCAAAGAGGACCGCTCCATTCAATGTCAATATAAAAGAACAGCGGACATCTCAGTCTCATTTTAATCCAAATTTGGAGCCAAATTGACTGAAACAAGCACAGTCTCTGAGCATTGCAACTCTGATTCTGTCTGCCGTGCTTGATTAAGATGAAGATGACGTATTGTTGGTCAGGGAACAGTCATTTTTAAGTGACTGTGTGGACAGAACGCTGCCTCACAGCAGTCGAATGACGAAAGACATTTTTTCCGGGGAGCTATTTTTCAAAACAACAACCATCTCCCAACGTGTGCCATCAGACAGGAGTAGAATCAGTTCCTTTGGTTTGTGATTTGGGGGAAGAAAGGCAAAAATAATTAGCATCAAAGCAAAAACATCCATCAAACTAAACAAAAGCATGGGCAATGTTTCTTGAACTGCATCCATAACACAACATAACCAAAAGCCTCAAATTGCTGCTGATTTTAGTGTGTGGAACTAAATGTTCCATAAATCCTCATCAGACAATTAGCTTGAGACAGTTTTGGGGTTTACAGTCCATGAACACTTGCAATAAAAATATGGGCAAATCCCTCTTAAATGGAGCTATATAAATGTAACAGCTCATGCTCCTTTTTGTTTAGGGATCAGGGATAAAGAAAGGAACAAAATGCTACATGAAGAAAATCCACATGATCCGGGCACAATACAGACAACCTCTTTCTGTTGGGGTTCAAGTTGTATGTCATAGAAATATTGTGTCTCATATAATTCCCCTGACAGAAAGACACCACTTCTCCATTAATGCTACCGAGTGAGAAGGGTAATGCCGGGCAATAAAAGCAACCAGATAGGATGGGAATGAAGCTAATGAGAGGCGATAAGATTCCCTCCAGCCTTCAATTTCAAGGATGCAGGAGCTTGGCAACCTCAGAAAGGGCCGCAGACTGACACGGGGAGGGATATCATTGATGAGCGACATCGGCGAAGGCGGGAGCTGTGAATTTTCTGTACGTGTGATGCAGGACACAAGGCGAGAGTCAACTGAGCTGACCACGTATACATGGATCCCTTCAAAGAGTCGAGGTATCAGGTGGCGTGCCGCTCCAGCGTGCAAAGGTGTATGTGTCCTCTTTCTGAACGTGTCACTGTACTATTGCCAATATGTCGAGTGAGTTTAAAATGAATTAAAGGAGTTTCCTTCGGTTGACATCGTGGTTTCAGATGTAGTTTGAGGACACAAAGAGGCAAGCGGAGCCTGCATTGCCCCACTCAGGGGCTTTGGGCAAAACTCATTTATGAATTCCATACTAGTCAGCCCCTTCAAAAGAAGTGGATTGTTAGCACCTGACCTCACACTTTAACAGGGCAAATGGTTTAAAACGAGCAGCAGGGACTCAAGGGATGCCGCCGGAGAAAGAGGGTGAAGAGGCCGCATTTCCGTTGAGCCTCGGTGAGGGGAAGTCAAGGCTTCCTCAACAGAAGCAAGGAGACCATTGTCAAAGAAGGTTACCGGAAAATAATTACACTGGCCTCGTCTCAATATTGAACATAACACACATAATAATGACTAATTCAATACCCGCCGTGGTCACCATTGATTTGCGGGTTACTCACGTGAGGGTGTAATGTCCCTCGTGGTCTTGATGAACACAGTCCGACTGTATCCTAGTGCAACTGGCAAAACAAAAAAAGGGAATAACCGAAAAAAAGGAACAAGATTATATTTTGTTGTTTATTTATTGGTTGAGATGAGATCATACTCAC